AACCTCGACAGGAATAAGGACAGGGTTCCTCGTAATGTGGCTCAATGTATTGCTTAATTGCTGAATTTACCGACTTCTGTCAGGGGTTGCAACTTCCATTGACTTGGTTTGCCTTAATTCAAGCGAAGCTATTACCACCTATTCAGTTCTCGCTTCTTCTTTCGCCAAAGTATTCATCGCCTTACTCCTCCTCCTCCTCCTTCTCCTCCTCCTCTTTACCAATGGGTAGTACTGTCGTCGACTAATTTAGTAAAGACAGTACTACAGCGACCAATGCTTCCGAGACCGACACTACTACTAATACTTCTACTACTATCACTACTACTACTTCTTCCACCACTACAACGTATTCTGCGCCTGACAATTCTGATGTTCTTAGGACCATTTAATCATTTTTATAATTATTGTTATTGCCACTACTACGCCGTTACTACTAATTCCGCTTCTGTTGACCCCATTATTTCTAACATGCTTACGAGTACATTCTACCAAACTTCGACCCTAATGCTACTCTGCTTAATACTGCTACTTAAACTGCGCCTACTACACGAATACTGCAACTTCATAATCCAGATAGCTAAGGCCGCTTTTACCAATAGTTATTGTTGTACTCTCGCCGTCTCTGCTGTTGAATTCAGGCAAACACAACTACTGTTCCAGTTATTGCAGCTTCTTCTGTCTTGTCACCATTACTGTTTATGCAGTTGACCTCGCAATCGTGTTTAGGATATCACTTATTCTTCCCTATACTTCCGGACATTGAGCTACAGCTTAGGACATCTTCCACTATGGCTTCTGCACGAGTGCTGTCACTAATGTTTCTGCTGCTGTTGGTACAACTACCTGATAGCAATGGCACTACTAGTGTTTAAGCGATTGACCTATAAACCACATCAAGATATCACCTGTTCCTTCTATTTCCGGGACACCAAATTCCTGCCCACGAGATCCTTCACTAGGGCTACCAGTTATTGCCTTCCGCGCAAATACGAGAATGAATGTCTAAGGCGTAACCCACCTGCGTCCACTCCTCACTACCCACGCAGACAGCTAGTCATAGTTGCCGTAATAAAAGAAGATCAGGACTTCGATTCCGACTTACGTAGATTCACAAATGAGCTTCCGTCAAGTGTGACATCTGGTTTCGAAATTTTACGGGTTTCCTTCCTCTCGCTTGCTCAGAAGCGTGAGCATGCCATGGGATCTTCCGCCCACTGGTCTTGGCCTTAAAAATCGCAGAGATCGCGAGACTGCTTCCATGCGCACTGCTGACATACTAGATAATTACCGTAACCGACCCCACTGCCACCCCCCCCCCCCATAACCTGATCTTACAGTGCCTTTCTGCAAGACATGACTCATGCCTTGAGCCACCAGGCTTCGTTCCACCTCGTGCGGACAGGGCGTCGGCTTCTTCGCACATGTCTGGGCCAATAATTTGAGTCATGTGTTAACTGCCGGTCATGTGCTTGCCTTGCAGGATTTGCTACGTCGTCCTTTTTTTCTACCGTCGATGAGCTCAATCCATGAACAGCTGGGGCTTCTCCCTCTCCTTACAACCATCGTCAGTATTTTGATTCGGCTACGACGTCAGGTTGTCGGCCAGAGTAGGCAAAACTCTGGCATCATTAATCTTGAGGAAAGTAACAGAAAGTCAAAAAACTAAAGAGGATTGGGATTCTGGCTTACAGTATTTCCACCTAGAACGAGGTGTCGACGCCTAAAAACGGATTCTACTATGATGTAGGTCTGAGGAGGAGACGGTGTAAAGTTGTTTCTGCCTCGATTTTGCTAGTTATCCTTACGTAAACCGATGAGGGTGCATCGCGTTCGTTGATGTACTTTAGCTGTGGACATCTCAGTTTTGGAAGAGAACGATAGAGTGTTTGGGAATGCAATTTTTGTGGTGCAAATGTCCGATGGGCTAGTTATTAGTCGCCGCCGTCGAGCTGGATCTCACACAGTTGAACGTCATTATGTCTTCCCCTTCAACAATCATCCCCGTCGCCCATAAGCGATCAAGAGACTGTCTCACTTCTTATCCTGAGCTATTTACGTTGACAACGGTGATTACCGTTCGTGCACATCTGAAACAGCATACTATCGACACGGGGGACGCCAGACCTATTTGACAACCCCTCGATGTGTTCCCGTTCCTTACCGTGATGAGGCGATATACTGCTGGACGAGCTGTTACGTGCCAAGATTCTCCAACCGTGCACCTCCCCATGGCCTTCACCAACTGCTTTATTCCCCAAGAGAGATGGCCTGTGTATCGACTATCTTCACCCAAATGCTGTGATTGTTCCGCCGCCGAGGTTGGGCGATTCAATAGACGCGCTAGACCAGGCTGCATGGGTCTCAACCCTCGACCTCAAGTCTGGTTACTTGCCGGTGGAAATCCACCCGAAAGATCGTCATAAGACAGCTTTCACTATACCCCTGGCTTTATTCGAATTTCAAACTTTATTTTCGGGGTTGTGCAACGCAACAGCCACCTTCCAGCATCTAATATACCGCGTACTCCACAAATTTATCCCGCATAAATGCCTCATCTACCTAGACGACATCATTGCGTTCGGCCGCTCTACAGACGAACACAATTCTAATCTACAGAATTTTTGGGAGGCCCTCCAGAGAGCCGGACCTACTCTCAACCCCGCCAAATGCCTTTTTCTGCGTTCCGAGGTTCAGTTCCTTGGCCAATTTTTTTCTCCAGGACGTATATCACCCATACCAGACCGAATCAAACACACACGTACGTGGTCGACCACGACGAACCAAACTGAACTACGGAGCTTTCTCGGTCGTGAATCGTACTATCGGCGTTTCATTCTGAATTTCGCCCAGATCGCTGGCTCCCTTCGTATGCCGGTCTTACACATGATCCGCCGAGTGCAACATTCGTACTGCATTATGCCCAGCACCACTCTTAGCTCTTTCGACCGTTGACGACCCCCCCCCCCGTTCATGCTAGATACTGTTTCAAGCGGGTTTGTCATCGGGGCTTTCTCTCTCAAGTAGGTAAGGATGACGTAGAACACCCGATCTGTTTGGCCAGCAACACCCTCGCTAAGACACGGCGTAATTACTGCACCTTCAGGCGCGAATTATTGGCGATCGTCGTGTTCATGCGCCAGTTTAAACATCTGTTCGTCGGTCGACGATTCATTCTACGCACGGACCATCGAGCCTCACAGTGGCCGCGCCCCATTAAGGATCCTATGGATCAACTATCCCGCTGGTGGGAGTTTTTAGATGTCGAGTGCCAGTTCCGCCCTGGGCACAAACATGGTAGTGCGAACGCACTATCACGCCTACGCCGCACAGTCAGTCTAGATGATGAAACACACAACAGAGGCGTTCATTATATTATTATTTCCCAATCCACTCGCTACGCCTGGTCCTCAGCTCAGAGCTCCGATCCTGATACCGCTGTCATTTACGGACCTTTGACTCAGGGACCATCTAAGCCCGGCAAGCAAGTTGTTCTGCATCACGTCCTCTTCCTCCGCGACCCCTCGTCCCATAATTTACGCTCACTGGTGTCAGGTTGTTTGATCAATACTGTGTTAACCGACCTACACTCGGAGTTAGGTCATTGCGGCCAATGCCGAACAGAGCTAGCCGCCGCACACGATTCTGGTGGCCACAGCTACGCGCCTCCATCTCCAACTTCTGTCAATCCTGCATTACGTGTGCATCCTTCAGACCCCCATCCCTGCTCCTGAACCCCCATGCAACCAATGACCACCGGGTTTCCTGGTGAGCGAGTCGGGCTAGACATGATCGGCCTGCTTCCTATCTCCGTCCGTGGATTTGAATACATCCTTGTCATAGTGGGTCATTTCGTCAGATGGGTCGAGGCCGTCCCCCTCCTCCGACACGACGCTACATCCGTCGGTAACTCCATCACCCGCAGGCGGATAAGCCACTGGGTTAGCCCGCTATCATTTCATTCATATTGTGGCGGCAACTTCGACTCTCAGTTGTCTACGGATGTTTGCGATACCCTCCAGATCCGCAAAACACGGACTACACCATACCACCCCGAATGAAACGGTCTTGTAGAGCGAGCGAATCGTACGTTGCACAACCTCCTGCTCGATTTTTCAGAGGACAGTCACAAACACGACTGGGACGCACACTTGACCTTCTGTCTCCTAGCCTACCGAGGTTCCGCCCATCCTTCCACCAGCTTCACCCCCTAGTACGTCTGGACAGAACGTGACTTGCGCCTTCCTATCGACCTTCTCTACCCCTTACACAGGCATGACACAATCACCTCCCACGATTACGCCCCACACCTACATGAGAGCATTCGTAGAGCATACAATGCGACCCCGACAACTCTAGGAACTGCACCGCTTCATCAAAAGAAGCAGTTCGGCCGTCACTCCTCCGGCGCCAGACATCAAATAGGCGATCTAGTCATGTATTACAACCTTTCACCTCAACGTGAAACCTACGCGTAGTTCCATTAACCCGGCTAGGACCTTTCATCGTCACTGACAACCCTTCACCTACCACTCCTGCTTATTTGCGACACCATCCACCCTAACGCTCGCCCCTTCGGGGCACAGTTTGATAAGCACAAACCCTACTGCGGTCTATTACCAGTTTGTTTCCCCGACTCCTTGCCCATCCTCCCTGCGGATCAGGTTCCTCCGGGTGCCATAGAGGTTACCGTACCCTCACGCACCGTCGATCCTAATACTGAGGACAGTGCTGCACCCTAGGGGGGAGGCTATGTAGCAACCGGAGATTTGATCAGAGGCCCGACCTTGGTTGTTTTAATCGACACTCGCGCTGGATTGCATTCTTCCGCTTTTCCTTTCGGAGACTGTACAGCCGAGGTCACGTGTGGGCAAGTAATCCTCAACCTGTCTCCGAGAAGTCGTTTTTCGTTCTTTTCGTTTTACCACAACTGTCTTACAGCAGGTTTGCACTTTTGTATTCAATAATAAAATCGCATCTTTCAATTATCTGTCCTGCCTCGTATGATGTCCCGCATGCCTGTATCATCCGACCCCACCCATTTTGAAATAGAAAAACTTCTAGACAGGATTTTCGAAGTAGCTGGTCCGTCTGAGTTCAAGCAGTCGTCAACCTCATTTGTGATCCGACGTCACTCCCAAGCGTCCATCATTAACAGCTCCACCACTGTCACCATCTCCGAAAATGACACCGACACCGCTGACTTCTCCTATCCTCACCATCCCCGCACATTCACCTCACGCATCGGCCTGATCGATCACGTGGGAATCTCTCGCACAGAGACTGGTGAACCAGTGCCTGAAGCACCAACATACACCAGACACATCGGCCTCAACTGCCATCACTGCATCCGTACATCCACCCACCGTATGAGCCTATTAGGCCACATGCGCATTCACGAAAACCTGCGGTAAATAACCGCCGGCTAAAGCACGCCATCACTTCTTCCTCCACCATCTTCATCTTGCACTTGCATCCAACTGCCACCTCCCACGCAAGTGTGCGTCTCGGCTCCGTCTCCATGTAGCCCTAGTGCATGTGTGATCTGATTCTGAGGCTATCACAGAGCGTCAGGCACTGGGGATTAAAAGTCTGCTGACTGACGCCCCAGCGCAGTTGTGTGTGTACCCCAAACGGGCCATGTGTTAGATGCGCTGGACCAACACTGGGACCATATCGGATCCTGGCAGTCGTTATCGGATTTGCGCGCCAAAACAAATTCCAACATTCGGGGTGCGGTAGCAGACTCGGTTGTCGGCAGACGTCGCGCAAACTGGGACCGCTGCCACCCCCCATTGTTGTAGTTGGTCAAAAACCTGGTTATCTGCTGTGCGGACCAGGGGTTTTGAGTGGAACGCCAAGGTGCGGGCTCGACCGTGCTATCCACTTGCCCCCTCCCCCGGCCTCGGTCTTCTTGACTCTGTCTTGACACCGGGTCCAGGTGGGGGAGGGGGGAGTTCGATAGATGCTGGGCAAGTCTACAGTCACTATAAGCTAAATCACGCGCAAGTCACCGTGTCTGCTTCACCATGCTGCGGAGCACACGGTGGACAGCGTCGACAACAACGGTCGAACCGTCATGTCGGGAATCGACAATCGTCTGATCCTAATTTTGTGCAAACTGATTCCATACTATCATGATACTATATTGAATATTCCCCGCTGACGGCAAGAACTTTCATTAGATATAAAAATATCAACGCCTCTGCCTCTATTCTGAAGTCTGTCATAACTGAGCATTGGCAGCCTCCAATCCTGACTTTGTTGCTCCTTTTTCGAAAGTCAAACAAGTTTTTGTCAATGCTGCTATGTGAGATTTCTGCTCAAAGCCATTAATTTGAGCTCTTTAAGTCTATGGAAAATATTTTCACAGGTATTATACTTGATCACTAGGTATTGGCCATCAGCGCTCCTAGAAGCTTCGAAATTCGATATCTCCAGGGTGGTTAGGCCAGTATTCTGATTGTTTTCGGCCGAAGAAATCCCCGTTTAACCTAAGCTATGCGTCTGTAGAATTGACAGTGGATCGACGACTTGGAGGTTCCCAAATGGCAAGTCAATAACGACGGATTGGTTTTGACAAGCTTTACCGGAGCAAAACATTGTACACGCAGGTCAGCAATCAACTGCAGCTGGTCATCTCACCAGGTAAATGATAGCTGAAGTGAACGCGCCCAAATCTCGTCCGGCTGCGGCAGTCGGTGAAGAGGGAAGTATCGAAATATCATGGTTTCCCAAGCCAACTGTCGATTCAAACGCACGTGCATAATGCTAGTCAGGTGTGATATGAGGACCGAAGGCGATGTAAATATTCGGGATCGCTGACGACCACGGCAGTGGACTAGCACACGTCCATTTCTAATATGAGGTCCGTTTCACCGTTGCTCATTCGTTCTTCCAGTTCTGCTACCACTATTATTAATATATATATTGCGTCGATGATGGGGAAAACAGTGAGTCAGCTTTACGGCAAGGTTATTGTTAAAGTCCGAATAGACGCCTCTGCACGTACATTACACTTACCATCGTCGTCAGTGGTAAATTCTAGGTCAGACGAATGTTTACAGTTAGGTAGTTGTCCTGCACAGCTCATGATTTGCATGACTTATCGACGTTTTAAAAATAGGGTTCTCAAAGGCTCTGCCTGTTACCTTTGAGCAAATACTGAAGAAACGAACAATTCCTTAAAGTATAAACAAGGTCTAAGTCGTGTTTGGCGGCTTGCAGTCCGAGCAGTTATTGTATTGGCTATACGCCTAAACAACAGAGACAGACGACAGCGTACTAGTTTGCTTGCAGGATTGCAGGATTGCAGGATGTCGTTTGGGAGGAGTTGGAAGCATAGACTCAATCTTCAAAATTTTGCAAATATTTGCTGCAGCAAAAACACTGACAATGATGGCGACTTTCGTATGAATTTCAGAAGCGTTGGTTTGCCCACTGAATCATGGGCGACCTTGCATATAAAAACTCGTATTCAGAAATCCTACTAAAGCTATTCCAATTCCAGGGATGAGGGGTCCTATACCACTGCGCGCCACCTCAAATTGCGTTTACGAATTCATAAGCACTTATGCATGCAGGTACACTGGGCGAACGCAAAGACACCTGGCTAAACGGCTTTTTAAGCAGAAAAATAAAATCCCTCTCTCTATCACGAAACACATCCTAGGTAGGGATCACTCCGTCGACCCCAAAATATCCTTACGAATACCTGTTCGGGCACGAAAACTCGAGAATTACGCTAACTAGAAGCAGCCTACACACGGCGGATGAAATTCAACCTCTTCAAACAACTAGACCATGTGGTCGACCTCACCGTCCCCCGGTAATCCAAATTACTTCGGTTTGCACACCCCTTTTGCGTGTTATCTTTACCCCTTTTTCTTTTCTAGATTTCGTTTCTAAGTTTCCCTTTTCATTGATTAGTCTATGTGCGCTAATCGTGACCTTGCTCCTTTGTATTGATTTTTTGTGCAAATTTAAATTGCTGTATGTTTATTTTTCATTATCTCTGTTTTGTGCCGACGAGTTGCGGTTGGCAAGCTTCGCGAGATTTATTGGCACCAATAAGTTCCGTTGTGTAGGGCTGTTTTAAAGATAGTGGAGATGGCTTGTCGACCGTCATCAACCAGCCATACACAACCTCAATTTTTGAGCACCTAGAATTCGAAGCCATGACCTTCGATCGCTGAGTCTAACGCTCTACCATTGAGACATGAGTCCGCTGTCCTGTCAGTTGCGATCCGGAACTGGGGTGAACGGAATTCCTTTTCAAAAGGAATACATTTGATTTCAAATTAATATAGATGTTTGCGTGACCTGAGTTTATGCATAAACATTTGACAAGAAGTTCTTCAGTGAGTTCAGTAGAGATTTTGATCAAGCTCGTGACATATTTAGAATTAAAAAGATGCCCTCAAGTTTGAGGTAACATTAGAAAAAAACATAAAAGCAGTAATTTCCCTTACGGAGGCGTACAACACAGAAAAGTAGAAAAGCATGCATGTGCGCAATATCGCTAATTAAAAGGTAGCGGTTCTGGTTTGAAATAGATTTATTTATGAGATAGGACTAGGTTTAGTAATAGTGCAATTAGTGTTGAGGTTAGAATCCTGCCAGCAAATGACACCGTTCCATGGAACCCAAACGTGGTTGGACGGGGCCATTGCGCAATTCGAGGGGCTGTCCGTCTATTTGTTAGCATAAATGAATCACAATGGTGCAGGTATTTTCAGAACAGGCAATGCGCGTGAGTGGGAACAGTCGAAAAAGCAAACTGTGTCTATCGTAACTATCATATTATCGCTTTTGGGATTCTTGCAGAGTTAGTCGCACCTCCTCAGCTGCGATGCTCATCTTTTTATGCAGTCCAGCGACATAAAAACCAAGCGGTATCGGATCATTATCCAAATAAACCTGAAGATCCTCTGGTATTCGTATTTATCGGCCAAATGCCAGAGCCGAATGAGTCCGTTGTGCCCACGAGCTAATATTTGAACGATACGAAAGTGTTCACGCTAACAACGCGTCATCCCAGGTAAAGGGAGTCTGGCGCTCCACGAAGGTCTTAAACAAACTGATAAGAGTCCTTTGAAGAAAAAGATAGACTCACCGAACGGGTTAATTAAGGCGCTGACTAGAGTCCTATTCATCTGTTTCACTTGTCCGTTGTCCTGAGAGCAGTATGCTATAGTGTGAGTCTTATCAACACGTAGGTACTTACAGAGATAATGAAGAATTGCGTCTTTAACTGACGTCCCTCGATCTTAGTGAAGTTGGTCTCGGGGATCCCTATCCACACAACCAACATTTGAGAACGACATGGACGACTGTTTCAGTCGACAGGTTCGGCAAGGGTTCCGTTTTAGCCATTTTAGTAAAAAAAGTCAACCATGGCTATTGTGCATCGGTTGTCACTGGCAGATTGATGTAAGGGTCCAACAATGTCAAAACTAACCTGTTTGTTAGAATAACTTGTAACAACTGGCCAAAGAGGGACTGCTTATTTGTGGCGGCGACTTCAGATAGTTGCATAGGTTGCAAAACTGACTAAAGTTCCATACGGAGGACTTGAAATGTGGCCAACAATACCTTCTCCTGAGAGCTCAGTCAGTCTTGGGGATTTCAACGTGCAGCAGTTCAGTGTGTATTCGAATGAGAAAAAAATCCGTCGTAGATAACGGCAGAACGACGCGTCGGGACCTAACTTAGTGAGAAATACATAGACGGCTGATATATCATCTAGCAGGCCTCGCATTGCCCAATCTCTCCTTGCATAGCTAGGGGCCGTATGCCAGCAGAGGTGTTTGGAGATGGTGATCCTTAAGGATCACGAACGGAATTAACTTCCCTATACGTCATCGGTGGTAGGTGGTTTACCTTACTTATGTATAAATGCCTGAACTGAGTTCAGAACTTTATATAGGCAAGTAGTTTATGTGCGTAATTCAGTAGTGTAGAATCGGCAGAAGTGAGTGAAATCGCGAACGCAGTCGGCATCAAATGCTTTCTGTTGATGTTTCAAGAATTTTGCTTAAAGGCGCAAAATCCGTAATCCACAACGAAGCCTTCTCAGATGCTGCGACACTATCATCGAGAGTTGCCCAAGGAACTAAGGCCACTATTGCAAGCACCCCTCAGAACACCGCGGGTGATGACCATCATTGCCAACGGAAGGTCGTTGTGCGCCGGCGAGACCTACGAAGACTTTGTTCACAGGCCAAGTACGGAAGCCGGTTTGGCGCACAAAGTGATTTGTTAATGTGTATATCTATATGTCTGTTATGGCTTCTAGATAAAACAGCTGACCTAAGCAGACAGTGGTGATGCACCAGTGCTCAGTCCACCGCTGTGCCTTAGCTCCGTCTGTTGGGGATCTACAGGAAAGCGGCTGTTCATTGGCTGCCCACTTTATGCCCTCTCCACTGGCATATCAGACTTTTTTACTGACGCTTACAGACGCAACTCGACAAAATAGCACATGTAAGGATCGCGGAACAAAGAAGACGACTGGCTTGAGTATTAAATGGCGGCTCAGCACCTGTTTAGCTCTAATCCACAAAAAACAAAAGCACATGATGCGTTAGAGGCACATGGAAGAATAGTTTCAATTCAGCATTCGAGGAAGTGTTGAAATCCCGTCTGTGGCAAACTAAAAATGACACAAGGTTACTGCCGCCTGGTTAAATGGGTGAGGAATGTGACTAACTCTTTAACGCCCGGAACTGCCGACTTTTTAAAAAGCCCTCTTTTTAACTGCAGATTTCCAGCGTGCAGACTGAGCAGCGTATCCTATTATTTTTTTACATTTTTCATTTTCGCATGCATCGTTAAGCAAATAAACATGGTCTTACAGAATAATTCCACCTTCCCATTCACCTTTACACACCGATTCATTGCAACATTCTCATGGGTGTTAAGCATCAGCGATCCCTCAGTGACTACGACTGGCGACAAAATAACACAGCGTAGGTTTATTTTAATTCATAGGTGCTCACCACTTTTGAACTGCAGCTCCTTATTGGTCAGGTGGAGGGCTGCCCACTGCATGTCGTATGTCGTCTTATACGAGTCATGCTGTCGATAAGAACAGTCGCGTCCGACATGAAATACAAACGTGCTGTTCATAATTCGACGTTTATAGGTCTCGTACTGTAATCGTCATCAGGCCTTACAAAACCGTTTCTGTATTGTTCGAAGTTGTTTTGGCTCGACTTAGCTGTCTACAGACATTGCGAATTGCTAAACACATATGCCAGACCTGCTGACAATTTTCCACAACTGACACATCTGAAAAATAAGCCATTATTGCTTCTTGTATTACAAAGCATTGCTCCTGCACCCTACATCATCTACTTTCTAGTTTAAGCTCTGGATGTTGGAGGCAGTTTTAGTAGTGAAACATGTCTCGTTAAAAGACTCATTAGCCTCCTTCCATACGCGGTCAGAGAGAGTGGAATACCTTCACAATAATACGAAGACAAGACACCTGACTTTCTGTTGGATATGGTACATATGAGGCTATAAACTAGCCGAATACTTCGCCGGTCGAACGTCTAACAACCACCCTTGATAACCGAATCAGAACTTAACGACGGAGGCGGAGAGTCCAAGGCCGGATTAAGATTCGGCCAATCAGACAGTGTCCTTGAGTGGTTGGCATGTCAGTTGACTTCTGTTTTGGTAGACCTTCAATGACGTCGTCAGGATCTGGCGCGAGATCGGCACACGCACGTCGTGTGGGCGGATTGTTAGAGCGACTTCATGCCATTTGGCGCTTTGACAATGGTGAGTCCGCCAAGTTAACTAACAAGTCAGTACTATAATAAGTCTGCCCTAGTGAGTTATTACTCCACCTCAAGCTGTGAAGTGTCCTCAAAGGTTTACTAATGGCAACTGGGAGCTCACACTAAGCATAAACGTTCCAGAGTATATACATGGACAAGGGCGACTGTGAGAACACTCAGCTGCACGGCAATAACCATTAACGTTTGCAGAAAATGCTTAAGGCTACCTTTAGGCACATTAAGACAGTAAGCAGATATTGCCGCGTTTCAACGGTCCCCCAACAGCAGATAAGTGTTATGCCATATTTCAAAGCTACTGACAACTTCACAGACCACCATCACAGCTGGGATAGTCGAGGATGGAACAAAAATCTCCTTATGCAGTAGCAATATACGTTATCGCAGCGGTCCCTCCTTGTGCCATAATATATCTGTCACCTGTTAGGGAAACATTCGTGCCTCCTCAACCAATACCAAACGTAGGTGACCCCTTACCACTTATACACTTTAACCAACCAACCAACAGGTAAGAGGTACATGGTGGATTTAGCCAAGCATATTTATCATTATGTTTAGGACGGTTCATTTACGCTCTAGTACGACTTTCGTAGCAAGAAAAGGAAAGTAATCCTTTACTGACCGATTCTTCACCGATTAATAGAAAGTAAACTGTGAGTAATTTGCAACTCATCGCGAAACATAGGCGCTTGCGCTATCTCCAGTAAGCATCACAAAACTAGCCTCAATGACCTAGAGACGGCTTTTAAGAGGCGCCTGAAGAGGACGAGCGACACATTTACATGCATAAACAAACGTTTTCCCTATAAGACGTCAGCGTCTATTGTCACTATATTGCCCATTTCAAGCTCCCTCGTACCGTGTGCTTTGTTTCCGACGCGCAGTTTGAGGTCATTTAGGTGCGGCCACACAGACGTCAAAGTTGAAAGGGGAAAATCGGCTAATATGTTCGGCGGAGGCAATGACCCCTTTGATTTGAGTCTGCTCATATACGAGGGCGACATCAGACAACCTTGTACTTAGCCAAGTCCACTGTCTGACCCTCAAACAATCAATTAATTGGCTGGTTCTCATGGTGGCACCCGCACACCACCTATGTGCATGTCACACGTCAACATTCTGGCGACTCTTAGTACTAGGAGCGTGTCAGTAGACAATGATTATCAAATTCCGTTATCAATTTCATGGCCAGTTTTTCGCATCCTCCTGTACGCGTAGGTGTGAGCGCCAGTGAATTGAGACTGCAGTTACTTGTTACCGGAGATGTTGGTGTATTTTGAATGAGGACGTTTCTCGAAAAAACGGCCGCTTCGAAGCATTGCTTCTCGATATTAGTTTGAACAAGACGACGGTGGCAAAACCCACAATCTAATGTCAGCATAGGTTTCGCGACCTCTTTTACAAGTGATCGCGGTCATTCCATTCTTACGAAACAACTTCGGGTGTTGAAACGAGGTCGGCGCATAAACGGCAGGGAATGCTGATCGGACATGTTGGTGACATGGTGTGAGATGGGAGGACCTTCTATAAGTAATCGAGTTTTAACTGCGGCAAAACTTCGTAAAGCGAAATTAGGGCTAAGCAGCAAAAGTTTTTTTCTCATTGAACTGTTAGTTTCGTGAACATGCAACGAGCATGCACACCTGAATACGAGGTCACGAGAATGTCGACGTCAATATATTCAAGTTCTGCCACCTCTGTTCTACTGCTTAATCGGTTGTGGAATATTCATCTACCCTCCTCCAAATAGAATTTCCACCTTCCTCGAAGAAATAAAAGTCAGAGTTCGTGCGGAGAATTCAAACAGTCAAGACTTGGCTCTATCATCAATTCGAAATTCCTACCACTTAAAATGCCTAAGAGATCTGAACAAAGGATAATCTGAAAGTCTCACATTGTGTGAGTAAGAGGGATAAGTAAAACCTCCCAGTCACGTCTCGCCTCTTCTGCTGAGTCTGTCTTACTGAACACGAGCTAGCATAATCCTTATACTGGATAACTTCTTGTCTACTGACCAACGTGAAATATTTTCCGGCTGAAGCCTAGCTCGAGTATTTCATTTGTTGCCAGTGCTATTACCTGTTATCCCTTTTCCCTGTTCCAGCACCTAGTCATCCAACATTCGGTAGAACAGATCGCCCGCTCGACATTCTATTAAGCGGCGTTGCTTCTATGTACATCGAGTGCATTTGGCTAGATGCTGTTGGTTGTTCTCGCGATAGTTCTCACACTCACATCCCGATAAGTCAATAGAGCATACACTGACAGGTGTGACCGTCGTCATGTAGAAATAGTTGCTAGGACAGTCTGAAGAATGGTACTCATGACCCTGACAACCTGTGCATTTGCTGTTTAGCAGCGTCAGCTTCTCAGGGCACAATCTTCCACCCTTGTTGTGCATAGGATACATCTAGAGGAGTGACTACTCATCACTACGCCATCGATTGTATGGGCTGAAGATCGAAGCTCTAAGGGAAACTGGCATTGTCCGCACTCAATTACACAGTTGGGCTGGCTCCGTGAACGTTAGCCCTGTATGAAATCGCTTATATTTCTGACCGCGGCCACCAAGACACGAACCGGTGACTCAATACGTGACTGAATCGAGATCCAAACGTCGGACTAGGCGTCCTGGAATTAGGTATAACCAGCTAGTACTTGTCGAAACTCGTCGTTATGCTGGTTGTGCGATAGATATCGAGACAAAATCGCATTCTGTGCATCACAAGGGTGGGAAGGTTGCCTGGTGTCACGCCCGTGTGTGGGCAGCCTCAAATCAAAGGGGTCATTGCCTCCGCCGAAAATATTAGCTGATTTTCCCCCTTTTAACTTTGACCTCTGTGTGGCCGCACCTAACTGACTTCAAACTACGCGTTGGAAAGGTAAAACACACAGCTCAAGAGGGTACGTTACGCGCAATATTGTGACAATAGACGCTGACGTCTTATAGGGAACATGTTTGTTTATGCATGTAAATGTGTCGTTCGCTCTCTTCAGGTGCATCATAAAAGCCATCTCTAGGTCATTGAGGCTAGTTTTGTGATCCTTACTGGGGATAGCGCAAACGCCAATGTTTCGCGATGAGTTGCAAATTATGCACAGTCTACTTTCTATCAATCGGTAAAGAACCGGTCAGTAGAGGATTACTTTCCTTTTCTTGCTACGAAAGTCATACTAGAGCGTAAATGAACCGTCCTAAACATAATGATAAATACGCTTAGCGAAATCCACCATGTACCTCTTACCTGTTGGTTGGTTGGTTGAAGCATATAACTGGCTAGGTGTCACCTAAGCTTGGTATAAGTCGAGGAGGCATACAAACTGTGTGAATGGTTTCCTAGAGGACAGCGGATGCACTATTGCACAAGGAGGGACTGCTGCTATAACGCTTATGCTTAATGGATAAGGCGAGCTTTGTTCCATTTCGACTGCTCCAGCTCCCATGGTCGTCTGTGAAGTTGTCAGTGGCTTTGGGATATGACAAAACACTTATCTGCTGTCGGGGGGCCGTTGAACGAGGCAATATATGCTTACTGTCTTAATGTGCCTAAAGGTAGCCTTAAGCATTTTCTGCAAACGTTAATGGTTATTGCCGTGCAGCTGAGTGTTCTCACAGTCGCCCTTGTCCATGTATATACCCTGGAACGTTTATGCTTAACGTGAACCCCCAGTTGCCATTAGTAAACCTTTGAGGTCACTTCACAGCTTGAGATGGAGTAATAACTCACTAGGGCAGGCTTATTATAGTACTGACTTGTTAGTTAACTTGGCGGATTCACCATTGTCAAAGCGGTAAATGGTAGGACGTTGTCTTAACGATCCGCCCACACAACGTGCGTGTGCTGATCTCGCGCCAGATCCTGACGACGTCATTGGAGGTCTACCAAAACAGAAGTCAACTGACATGCCAACCACTCAAGGACACTGTCTGATTGGCCGAATCTTGATCCGGCCTTGGACTCTCCGCCTCCGTCGTTAAGTTCTGATTCGGCGATTTGATCAAGGAGGGTTGTTAGACGTTCGACCAACGAAGCATTCGGCAAGCTGATAGCATTAGATGTACCAAATCCAACGGAAATTCAGGTGTCTTGTCTTCGTATTATTGTGAAGACATTCCACCCTCTCTGACCGCGTATGAAAGGAGGCTAACGAGTCTTTTAACGAGACATGTTTCACTACTAAAACTGCCTCCAACATCCAGAGCTTAAACTAGGAAGTAGATGATGTAGGGTGCAGGAGCAATGCTTTGTAATACAAGAAGCAATAATGGCTTATTTTTCAGATGTGTCAGTTGTGGAAAATTGTCAGCAGGTCTGGCATATGTGTTTAGCAATTCGCAATGTCTGTAGACAGCTAAGTCGAGCCAAAACAACTTCGAACAATACAGAAACGGTTTTGTAAGGCCTGATGACGATTACAGTACGAGACCTATAAACGTCGAATTATGAACAGCACGTTTGTATTTCATGTCGGACGCGACTGTTCTTATCGACAGCATGACTCGTATAAGACGACATACGACATGCAGTGGGCAGCCCTCCACCTGACCAATAAGGAGCTGCAGTTCAAAAGTGGTGAGCACCTATGAATTAAAATAAACCTACGCTGTGTAATTTTGTCGCCAGTCGTAGTCACTGAGGGATCGCTGATGCTTAACACCCATGAGAATGTTGCAATGAATCGGTGTGTAAAGGTGAATGGGAAGGTGGAATTATTCTGTAAGACCATGTTTATTTGCTTAACGATGCATGCGAAAATGAAAAATGTAAAAAAATAATAGGATACGCTGCTCAGTCTGCACGCTGGAAATCTGCAGTTAAAAAGAGGGCTTTTTAAAAAGTCGGCAGTTCCGGGCGTTAAAGAGTTAGTCACATTCCTCACCCATTTAACCAGGCGGCAGTAACCTTGTGTCATTTTTAGTTTGCCACAGACGGGATTTCAACACTTCCTCGAATGCTGAATTGAAACTATTCTTCCATGTGCCTCTAACGCATCATGTGCTTTTGTTTTTTGTGGATTAGAGCTAAACAGGTGCTGAGCCGCCATTTAATACTCAAGCCAGTCGTCTTCTTTGTTCCGCGACCCTTACATGTGCTATTTTGTCGAGTTGCGTCTGTAAGCGTCAGTAAAAAGTCTGATATGCCAGTAGAGAGGGCATAAAGTGGGCAGCCAATGAACAGCCGCTTTCCTGTAGATCCCCAACAGACGAAGCTAAGGCACAGTTGTGCACTGAGCCCTGATGCATCACCACTGAATACTAAATCCAGCTATTTTATCTAGACGCCATAACAGACATATAGATATACATACTTACAAATCGTTTTGTGTGTCAAACCGGCTTCCATACTTAGTCTATGAACGAAATATTCTTAGGTCTCGCGGGCTCACAACGACCTCTCTTTGGCGGTGATGTTTATCGCCTGCGGTGCTCTGAGGTGTGCTTGCAATAGTGGCCTTAGTTCCTTGGGCAACTCTTGGTGATATGGCCGCAGCACCTGAAAAAGCTTCCTTGTTGATTACGGCATTTGCGCCTTCAAGCAAAATTCTTAAAACATCAACAGAAAACATTTGCCGCTGACTGCGTTCACGATTTCACACACTTCTGCCGATTCTACACTCTAATAAATAGCGCACATAAGGTACTTACCTAGACAAACTTCTGAATCCAGTGCAGGCATTTATAAATAAGGCGACCGATCTACTACCGATGACGTAGAGGGAAACTAACTTTGTTCGTGACCCTTAAGAATCACCATCTGCAAGCACGCCTGTTGGCAAACGGTACCTTTTCTATGCAAGGAGAGATGGGGCAATGTGAGGCCTGCTAGAAGAGATATCAGCATTAGATATCAGATATCAGAAAAAGGCTGCAGGCGGAGTAGTTTTACAACCCAGTCAGCCTGCAGCCTAATTCTACAATAATTTAGGTACCTCAGGATGTGTGCTTTCCAACGAACGTCTTTTCGGTTGCATTCCGACACTGTACTTTGCAAAAAGATGATTACTTAGGCAGCATGACTTTTTCTCATTGATTTTCGATGCTCCTAAGAATGTGACCATATTTCATAGAAATCATGCATAAACGTATTCATTCGTTTGCTCATTCGGTAGAAGAGTACGTCTTCGGTTTTAAATAAGTTTCTAATTGTGAGATTTTTTAATACCGCCAAATGACCGTTCATAAAACGTCATGTTTCTGCATTTACCAAGGTGGCTTGTAAATGAGGTTTTCGTTCCACCGAGATGGCGGACATCAGACCCGGCGCATCTTTCTGCTATCTTCCATGGTAGATGGTGTTTCCACTCGAATACACACTCAACTAGCGCACCTTGTAGTCCAAATGATTGAGTGCGCTGTCAGACGAAGGAACTATTGGCCAAATTTGAAGCGCCCCGTATGGAACTTCATTCGGTGTTGTATCCTATGCAACCTATGCCGCTTTCATTTGGAGTCCCTGTCTTCGGCAATCCTAGGCAGTCAGGTAGCAAGACAAATTATTAAATAGGAAGGAGTGTAAGCCGTCGACAAATCACTTGCCGGCCATGGACTGGGAAGACCGGACACTAGCAGTGGTCTGTCTGCCATCCATACACTGAATTCAGTGCTCCACCACACATGCCCTCGGCTCATAAAATGTCGCTTGCATTTCATCACTCGTTTTGGGGTAGTACAGACTTCGGCTAATCTGGCTGGAAACAAATTCATGGCTCTCGATCTGGGATTCTTAGTTCGGGTGATTAGTGCGTTGGCTGGAAAATTCCTGGAGAAACCTGAAGGGGTGAACCCCCTTCCAGATGAGGTCATAATATCTGTCATAGTATCTATTCCCCAGGATCTGCCGATTTAGACCATCAAGATGTTTCCACAAAGGGCGCTCCACGGTTGTACTGGACAGGACAGACTACCTTCAAAAAGCCAAAGATTTACTGGAGGACCGAGAGTTCGATGCCCCCTGTGCAACGAACCCTGTAAAAGCGCTGACACGCGAAATTTAATGCTAAGTTGCTGGCCTTGAAGAACTCAGGTGCAATAATACCGACCGACAGGCGCACGACGAGACCCCATGATACGGCTTTGGCGCGATTCTATGGCTTCCCAAAGGTACGCAAAGACGGCACTCCTCTCCGAACCATCGTATCGCTCAAAGGCACTCCAACGTATGGACTAGTTAAGTGGCTGTTCTGACGTCTCCAGTTCCTGGCCGCTGAGTCAAACACCACGGTGTCTTCGTCAGCACAATTCCTGGAGAAACTCAAAGGGGTAAACCTCCATCCAAATGAGGTCATGGTATCTTTTGATGTTACATTCATTTTTACTTCTATTCCGAGGACCTGACGATGGAGACAATCGAGCTACCTCTACACGCCTAAGTCATTCAGCTCCTGAAGTTATGTCTCAAGACGTAGTTCACGTTCGACGGACAATCTACGAGAGGGTGAAAGGCATGCCAATGGGTTCGACGATTTTGGGACTCATCGCTGAGACGGTCCTACAACGGTTAGAGTCGCTGGCCTTCCAACACCACTGAATGAAGTTCTGTGCCGGTATGTGGAAGATACCATCGTCGTTATCGACCGGGATAAACTGCTGACATTCAAAGAACGTCTCAACGCGGTCTGACGATTTACGCTGGAAGAAGAAGAGAACAACTAGTTGGCCTTCCTGGATGTCCTCGTATACCGTAAAGATTGTGGTGGCCTTAAACCCAAAGTTTTCAGGAAAGTGACAAATACCACGCAAGAACTGAAATTAAACAGCAACCATCCAATCAGCCACAGGTGCAGTTGTCTAAGGACACTCTATATGCGTGTTAGAGCGTACTGCAGTGAGCCGGAAGACAAGATTGCCGAACTACAATACCTCCGACGGGTCTTCCAAGCCAATAGCTACCCGCGCAACTTCGTCAGCCGGTGCATTCACAAAAGGGACGAAAGGCCATACCGCACGGACCCCAAATTTTCGCGAGCTCTTTCATATGCCAAGGTCGTTTCAGAAGCCGTCACCCGCCTTCACGCATCATTTGTGGTTGGAGTTGTACACAGCCCGGAGGCAACCATCAGGCGTTAGATAATGAGACCAACAGATCCGCTGCCACAGCAAGGAAAGTCTGGAGTCGTTTATAGGATCTGGTGCAGATGCGGATAAGGCAAATACGTCGGAGAAACCAGAAGACAGCTCCGAGCGCGAGTAGCCGAACACGCTGCAGCGGTGCGGAGGAATAACGCCAGCTCTCAAGTTGTAGCTCATTCAACGAGATCCAGCCACAGTTTCAAATCCGGCGAGTACGAAATTCTCGCTAGAGATGACAACCGCGTGAGCCAGGAGCTGCTTGAGTCATGGTTTGCCGGCCCGCAGTCCATTAACAAGTGCAACGACCTTCCCTTCCAATACTCAGCGCTGAGACCTCGCCTGGCCGGAGTAATTAGCCACGCGGAGAGCGCACAGGTGAGCACTGGTCCCAACGCCAAGTTCGGTGGGTCAGATAGTTGAGCAATCGTCAGACCAACATCCAACACCCGTAGTGAAACTGCAGAGATTATCGACGCGAATGCCAGTCATCGAACAGTCATCACGCCAAGTGCAACAATTCTCAGTGACGGAGGCGGAACCGTAAATTTGCATAGGTATGCGGTATCTTGGCTGCTGCGTCATATGAATACTGCAGCTCCCGGTGCATGAACTGCTGTATCTGCTATTGTCTCTGGTAATGGATTCGGGCAGGGATCCGAAACGTCAAGCGAATAAAGCTCTTGTTCAATCGATCGTGTCTTCTCCTTTCCGACTGCTTCCTGGGACACGTCTCCTCGCTTCTGTCGACACTCACCTTAGACTTTTCTCAAACTTTACTCCGTCCTTGTCAGTAATTAAAATAATTTACAAGCAACATGACCGGCCGAAGACAAGCTGTCCTAACTCAATGTCACTGCCTAAATATCTGCTTTGGTCATCGGTTTGAAGAATAAACTGGGTGTCGAATTTATTCGACTATTTGAGTACGGCATCATGTCACGCTGCGAGACTTTCTCGGTCTTATACAAATTTTCATAGACATATTTTACCTATGTTTCGGACAAAACCTCTAATTTATCGATCAGCTTATGCGCATCAAAAGCGTAAGTACGAAACCAATGTTTGAAGACCTTTGGTTAATGCGAACAGCCTGAAGTAGTTGAGCTACATCCTTTCGTCATTTCAGGAGCATATGTCGCCGACTATCCTATCTGAAATTTTGCAATTCGCAGTATATATTGACCATTCTGATCAATCCCCTCCTTATTCACGTGGGGGGCAAAACGCCGACAGTGGCCATTTGAGGATTCGCAAATTCGGCCAACGATGGACGCGCAGATTATATATATCGGAGGATATTTTTAGCATGCCATCATCTCTATGTTCACATCATCCAACAAGCCGATCAAAGCTCGAGTATACCTGTCAAATAACTCCCGCCGGTTACGTTCAGACTTTAGCAACTAAAGCGGGTTATATTCAACCTCCTAAAATATACCCCACAATTACGCCGAATACAAGTATAACGAGAAGGTGGTTTTGTGAGAGGGATTTGCAGAAAACTGGGAACAGTGTTGTCAACACAGTCGCAAAGCAGGAAAATCATATGTGCGTTTTACCTTAGTTTAAATGTTTCTTACAGCCCCTGCGTGAGCGACAGCCTGGTATAAAAGTAACCAATGAGATCGCTCATGACAGTGTCTCCAAAGTATTGTTCACCAATTGGATTGGAAATGGTCGAGAAACTGAACAACCACTCCCAACTCTGTGCGGGTCTGAGAGTCACAACAGTCATAAATAACCTAAAAGACGTTAATAGCAAATTCTTAGAATTGCCGCAAAGTGACTATCCAACTTATTTGGCGGTGTCGAAGAAGGCTTGTGCAGGCGAGCGAGACCGTCACTTCAACTCAATAAGGTTGTATTGGCAGGGGTTTCAACTTACCGCAGGCAATGTTCGCTATGTAGACTGAATTATTTTCATAGTAGTAGCCAATCAAAAGGGCATTATTATGATCGCCTCGTGTTTAACTGTCCGTTAATTTAAACGTCTAGGAATTCCACATCCCATCTTGTCCAGTCCTACAACATTCAATGGGGATAACAGACTCCAACTGCAACCCCTCTATTCATCTGTTTTGTATTGGTAACATCGCAACAGAGACATGCCAGTGGTAACCTGTTAGGTATGCAATTGTACAACCGTGTCTTATGCGTAGATTGCTTGAACATAGTTCTCCGTCAGTAAGATTAGTCTGGATGGCCAAGAAATCGCATCACCAAAAACGGTCTAGACTTCGCCCAGCTTTGCGGATAAGCGTTATATAGACAGTAAGCAAATGGTTAGGGGAAGAAATAACCGCAAACTACGTCGCTCAGGTTTTCACTGTTTCCGTGAAAAGCCACTGGTGTTATAAAATTAAGATGGAGGACACCCTCTGGCGTGAGGCTCTTAAGGGCACATGCCCAAAAACCAGCAAAATGGTTTGAGGAAGAAAGAAATATACGTTGTCAGTCTTGCTTACCGCAGGCCAAGAAAAAACCATTGGTATGAGCAGAGCAAAACGGAACCTCCTGTGATGGACTTTATTTGCTTACGGCAACGAAATAAAATCATTGGTAAAGTTACAGAAATGAAGAACCGTGTGTCATGCGCCTTGGAGCGAACCGCTTCCGTCAAAAGCCATGGTTCGGGCCAGGAATTAGAGGAGACTCCTGGTATGATGCCGGGCTGCTTATGGCACCCGCAGTATGCAATTGTTATAGTTAAAGCCCAGAATAACTGTATACCATGTCATCTTCACTTAATGAGATCTATGAAAGGTCATTATTATGATTGGAGTCAAAATAAACGATATGCTGGGACGGTCGCTGGTACTTAGCTGTGAACATTGAAAATAGCTGATGTTAGGCATTAACGGAGAACCCATTCCGCCACAGGTTTAAAGAGCTCCAGGCTTCATGATAGTTAGTCCACGCTCGTGAGAGGCCTGTCGGTCGCCGAAACTAAGACTGAATGTCGTCCATTCTTAGGTGTCAGATAATATATGAATACGGTTTGGAGGCGTCTTCCAGGCGACTATAATCTTCGAGGAAACAGGCCAGTCAATCGGACGCTCATGTCTAGAATTTTGAAAATGATTGTCTTGGCAAAAGACTATCTACCAACTAAGTTTATAGAGTCAGCCATTCCAAGATATACACTGCGCTGAAGAGAACCTGACGGAAAGGTATGCTGAACAGATGGAGGTATCGGTCAAAACGTGCGTGACATAAAGTTGAATTTCGGGTTTGAAGTGGGAGACGCTGACCATCAATGCATATAAAGGTTTGTTCAAATACATCCGTCTCGACTTTGGCGTCAAAACAGCCTCACGCATCTTACAGTAGCCCATACAGACCATGGTTATTGATGTTTGTTGGACCCCTTTCTGTTTGAATGGCATCTTGGGCAAACATCACGGGCAAACAGATGCTCCACAGGTTTCACAGGGTCTGGGGAATCTCATTAATTATGGCATAAAAATCAACACGGAAAGGAGCAAGTTCGTTGGAAAGGAAATCCGGGCCTAAGATTGGTAGCAAGCAAGACCCTACGTTAACCGGAGCCGGAAAAGGCCTCAGTACTCACTAACTTGAAGCTACAAAACTGCGGGAACTACATTCTTCGGCGCAACTGGTCAGTTACTGCGCGCAATTTATCGTCGAACCATAAAGTTAAAAGCCGCCGTCAAGTCGATTCATTTGTAAAGATGCGCAATTCGACTGGCCAGCAGACTTTCGGAAAGTGCTCAACGAGATAAAAAGAAGATCAGAAAGTCAAGTGTATTTCCAGATTTTAAAGTAGCAAAGGGAGCAGTCATCCGTGCGGATGCATCTGATTATGGGCACCGATGGAAGCATTTCGACCTTGACGTACGTCACATTATCATTCTCAAGGCTGAGAGAAACATTAACCAATTTGAAAAAGAAAATTTGACAACCAGCTTTGCGGTACAAAAATATCATGAATTCATTTATGGTAAAACTTTGGTTCACCATACGGAGCACCAGTCGCTAAATTTTTTTCTGGACACAAATCATGGTACGCTACAGAACGCGGCCAGGAAGATACAGCGATGAATTACGATTCTCCTGAATTATAACTTCACAATCCACCGTGCGCCCACTCCAAATTTCGGAGCGTCGGACACCTTAGCATGGCTGGGAGTAGTAAAGAAAATCAACAAGACGTGGTGCTCGCAAGCAGTCTAATACGAGGGAACAAGATTTCGATGTGTCATCTGGCACAGCTGATCATATCAAAACAACCACTGCAGCAGACCCACTATTATTTCATGCAAAGGGGATTATTCTGAATAATACAGAGAAGGCATGCGTACCCATCTATAAGACCCTCTGCAAACCGATGGGAGCAGTTATACCTGGCTGCAGACCGTACAATGCATGTCGGTAGAGTGTTGATTTCAGACAAATATTGGCAAAACGTTCCCAATCAGCCCCATGCTGGAAACCAGCGTATGAATCACATGGTACGGCTGGCACGGAGGTGCGTATATCGGTCAGAAATTGATGGCGACGTAGAAGTTTTCGTTCGAAGCTTCGACCCATGTAGACGTGAGGCCAAGAATCCACTAAAAGTACTACCCGTGCCATGGTCGGAGGTAAATAGAACACGGAATAGAGGCCATATGGACTTCGATGACTTCTCTCAAGCAAAAGTTTATAATATTTGTCGACGAGTGCTGAAGATGACTGGAAAGTTTCGATTTCGCAGTAGTTACCGCTGATATTACAGAAGAATCCGACATCTAAAGTCACCATTCTTTTATCCTCAGTCTAACGGCCTAGCATACTGCTTGGTTGGCTCTTGCATGAGAATAAGATATGGAACGCTGACGTTGAAAGTAACTACCTCGCAACATATTCTTTCTTGTGTATAGAACAATCTTGAAAAGTGATATTAACGGCACACACCAGCCGAGCAATTTCTGAGTCGACAAACTGATGTACAGCTGCAGTACCTAAAATCGGAGGTCCGAGTTGCCTGACCGTCAAAATATACTACTTTTGGGGATGGAAGGAGGTGTAGGCCCATAAGTACAAACGCGCAAATGCGGCATGTGAAGGGAGTAGTATCAGAAAGTCTAGAGACACTGTATTTGAGGTGAAAACTACAACTGGAAAAATCAAAAGGCATAAGAACCAGCTCAGCACAGGTTCGCCACAGATGTAAAAACAGCACTCGGCCTGCTATGTGATACCTTCGATATAAACAAACAGCCGACAAAATCTACCGTCTGAAGAAGCCGTAGAAGAGTATAGCCGCCAAAGAAACTTATCTTGTACCCTAGCTGGAAGAGTCAAAAAGTCAGGTTTTCAAAGGCAGAGGGTGTTCTGCAGAACCGAAATGGAATATGGGCAGGGACTAAGGCGAAATGTAGGTGTATGGAACAGCATCCCAATCCGACAGCAAAGTGCAGGCATGAAGTCAGGTGGTCGATCACCATGTACGGAATCCTCAAACGGGCATAGTGGTTTTGCTCACGTGCAACCGCATGAATGGCCGGTGGAAAATTTTGGATTTTTTCACTAATCGATTCGATCAAGAAGCACCCAGCAAACTACCTGCTCGCCATAGGCTAGGATACTCTACAAACACTCAGGTCTGCATTAGAAAGGGACTTATGACGAGTTGTAAACCGCGTAATTCTGGTTATAAGAATAAAGTGGTCGTACCCAACAACCACCTTATATGCTTTTAACACATCCGTTACGATATAGCAGTCTGTAAGATGTAAGTAACACATAAGGAGATCACTGTACTGCGAATTGTAAAATTCGGAAGTCCGCCCACATAAGGTGGTCTGCGTGCACTGATTGACGGTGAAAAAGAGTAGATAAAAGAGGGGACAACACAGAATGTAACCGCATAAAAAAAGCTTAAATGCGGCATTGAATGACGAATAAGAATACCAAGGAATAGCATTAATGGCCGTAAGAGTCTTCAAACAATCTATGGATTTATTTCGAGTAGACGAGATAATTCCTTGAAATTTTCATTTACATGGGTCACTTCCTGCATGAAAGCAGCTAAATTGGAGATATTTAGGGGATAATTTTTATAGTATTCGAACAGCATTAGACCGACAATTAAGCAAGTGCCCAAAAGGCGGATAGGTTGCGAAATGAAAAACAAACAATAAATCCACAGCATTTGCCCGCACTGTGTTTAACAGAATTCAAAAGTTCGGGTACACAAAATAAGTTAATGAGGTCAAACGAAAGGTGCGTTGATAGCTGTAAAATTCCCATGAAGGAATTCATAAGGTTACTTGGTGAGCGTACGGACGCTTACGATAAATTCTCATAGGGTCAGTGCATTAATATGGTAACGGCGCACACGCAAAACGTGAGTGATAGAAGAAATCGATCACATTCCGCGTTTGCTTACAAGTTGGATGTGGGAGTATGCAGAAGGTAATAAGAGACAGAGAGTGCTAGGTTAAACCGTGGCAGTGGGAAGTTAGTTGAGTGCGGAGAAGTACATGCAGTTAACTACAAATTGAGATAGGGTTGTATTTAATCATGCTTGCGTTTCGTATGGTCCCCCTTATGTAAGGTGGTACTTTCCTAGGAGACTGTTAAACTACTGTTAACAGGAGTTGCGTGGGGGGTCAAATATGCAGAGAAGATAAGGCCAGCTGATTTACATAGAACAATCTGGCATGCGACCAACATACGCCTATCATAATTTTCAGTGTAAAAGTAAAGATGGGGTCCTATGTCGACTTAAAATCCACAGCGGGTCTTTTGGTAGCACAGGCATCCGAAACCAAAAATGCGGCCGATTTCTCACTGGTCATTATGTTCGATTAAGTTTAGTGTATTGGAGACAAAATGGGCGTTATCTCAAAATCCCACATGTCACACAGATCAAAAGAACTGGCTGGGAAGAAAAACGCTGTATCCACTGCAAGCAGAATTAGTAATGGACAAGCAGGTACATGCATAGTAAGCGCGATCACACAGTCCACTTGTTGCTGCAACAGGTATCTATCAAAGCGGTGTTTGGAGGTTTTCAGAAACAGTGATATCAGAATCTACTCAAGCAGGCAATTCAGTGATTCCTTCACACAGACGGAGAAAAAAGAATCATCGCGCTAAATTTTGCTTCCGAAACAGGCATCTAGTTCTTCAAAAACAGAGATTATTTAAAGGAATTCTGGAGTACAAAATAACTTAAAGTGTGTACGCATAACAGTTTTTCTGTCATGCTTATACGCGGCCCGTTTGGTCTTGGGCGTCATTGACAAGTCAGTATAAAATGGCATTAGTTATCTTTAGCCTGTCACTGGGCAATTATATAGTGGGTGCCTTTGGGTTACAGAGAGTTGCAGCCCAACAATCAATTGAAGTGTACTTTAGGGTAAGATGATACGATACTAACAGCACAGATACTAACCAATAACCCATACACGAGTGTTTCGCCGATATTCTGCCACTGCGTGGAGCAGCTGCGACGGACTCGTCTCGTCTGTGGGTCTACCAGCGTTCCCTGTCTGTTTTCTGGTAGGTACTCCAATTAAGAAATTGCCGATTTTTTAATTTCGAAGGCTTGCTGACAATCCAGCAACGTGGCTGTTTATCTAAGTAATGTAAACCATATACTGGACGCGCGAAATTCGCGGCTGGCAAACTAACCAATAAAATTGTGCGTATTTGTTTGCTTTTCGCCATTTCCATTCCTTTTGCCTTTTCATTTTACAAACGCTCCCAGAAACTATGTTTCTCGCCCTATAAGTAAGCTTTACTCCCCAGTCGAGTTTGGTTATCTGTTTAAACGGGTATCTATTTACCGTCTGCTTTATGCCACGCAGCCGAGGCCTGTCAGGCGGAGCAGTCTGCGGAGCATCTGGAACTTCCATAAAGATTGCATCTGATAAATGCACCTAGAAGAGAACAGTGTCTCCTGTTTGAGCGTGCTGTCAGGCGCACGCCTCAACAGGACCGAGTTGTTCCTGCAGGTTGCGATCCGTCAGTCAGTTAGATGTCAAACTATATACTAGCAGTGAAGCCCGGCATCTACCTCGTGTCTATCCTTTAGTTATTGCAATGCTATCGGTAATGTAGTTCACATAGTCTGTCGCTGTTGCGCACCCCAGACTAGCATGAGTCTCAGTCGACAAGCGCCAGACGTCTTGTTAAATCAACACTTTAATGCAGTTTTCGGAGCTGTGGAGACAGCCATCGGGGTTTGGCTTCGCGTCCTTAAAAGAAGGACTTATCAGCATGGCCCACTGACTGGTAAATAATTCGTGTAGTTGGACTTACGGCACGAAGTTGTGAGAAGATATCGAACAACTTTGGCCGTTTTTTGGAAGGCTTTAATTGTCTTTGCGAGTTTTCAGCGACGAGGCCTGATTTTTTTGCATGCCCGATCAAACGTCCAACAACGGTGGTCGAAATCTCCCCCTTTCGTTTTGTACCCCGATAGCCTAGCTTTAACAAGCGTAAAGGTTGACCGATCGAGCAGATTTCCCTGCTTTGTTGGGGCCTTCAAGCAGCCTCAACTCCGAGGGTGATACCATCCTTACTTTTTTCACTTCGTGAACGCACAAACTCAAAATATCTGAATTCATCCACTTTATGTTGGAACGTTTTATGGGGAAGACGTGTCTCGTTCTGATTTTGTGGGCGTTTGGAGACTAATTTAAAAATTTGAACTCAAAGCTACATTGTTTTGACACGTTCATCCGAGAGACAGCATTCTGCGCCTTTACATGAATAAGCGGTAGGAGGGCGGAGTTGACAGTCTATCCACTTCTGGTGTATTGAGATGCAGACGCTGATTCGATATTTTTGGAGATTATTGCAGATGTTTAAGAATCTTGCCGATAACACAGTTTAATGCCATGGGTTACAAGATACGTTAATGTCAGGCATTTGACTGAATTTTAAATGATTTCGAAAAGTTATTGTGGGAGATTTACACATACCTTGATACAGCTGGCATCAGCCACGTCGCAGATGCTATTTCTTTACGCGGAACGATTTACGACGGCGGTTTTGGAGGGATCGACCCACTCTGTTTTTTCAGCGATGCAGATGGAATACCGAAGGTCCAGGAACTACTTCCATGTCTTTATGGAGTATATTAAGCCTGGGTTGGAATTGATCTTCCTTCGCCATTTCCAGTTAGACGATAGCGTCGGATTTAGGTTAACAACACTTAACTCATCCGACAGGCGACAGAGAACCTGTTCAAGCCATTTAAGTTGTCCTTCTGGGTTGGTCTGAAGACTCCCTACAGTGATGCAGCGAGGGCGGTTTGTTCCATCCAACACAAAGTCAGTGGACTTCACACGAAAAATGGTTATCACAGGCGCCAATAAAACATTTTTAAGTTTTCACTCGTCTTCCGTGCACACAGTCCAGATCTTACAGCCGCAACAGGATTGACTAGGCAGATTCCTGGTGTGTGCTGGTCTTTGTAACGATGCAGGTATCGCATCGGGTCCATAAGCGCCTTCTAGAGCTTGAAAACCTGTGCGCAGCTCCCATGCAAGCAATAATGTCATCGCTTCCCGTTTCATTTGGTAGCAACTGTGTCCCAGGAATTGTGAACCGTCCACTTCTTCAAGCTGACAGCCATGAATCTCGAAGCGTGCCTTTTTCCTCAGAATTACAGCCCGATAACACATCCGTCTTGATAACGTTAATAGATAAGCCGGATGAGCAACTGATCTCCTTCGGCCGCAGCTCTACTTCCTGTGGATCGTCTTAACTTAACACCAGGAGGGCAATAACGATAGCGTGGCCGAGGTCAGTCAGCCTGCGCCCAGATGCGAATTCGTCATCTTTAAAACCGCGTAGGGTCGTTTTGTATATGCCGTCCACGACGAATTCGAACGGGGTTGGCGACAGCATGCAACCTTGATAGCTTTTGAACCGAATATAGAACGGCCGGGAGAGATTTTTGCAGACCGGAATTTGCCAAACGGGGAAGTGTCAGCAGGCTTTGATCGAAGCGATTATTTTTGGCTGAGATACTGTCCAACACCACTATTCGCCGTAGGGATAGATGGAGCCCAGCTTTGTAACGAAGCCAACAAACTAGACAGCCGTTGGCTATTGATAACCATGGTGAAATTTGAGAACAGGTCGCATTAAAAATGTTTGGTTGGTGTGCCCATGTCCAGTTCAGGACACGGCACGGTTGGATCTAGTCCTAGAATCGCCTGAAAACGAGGGAAAAACACGTCGTTGAGGCTTGCGTTGCAATAATTCTGACACTTTGTCCCATCTTCCTCCCTGAGTGCAGGCTCAAGAATGGCCGAATCTCTATCCCCAGCAGCGAGCCCACCTCACCTTTGCCAATCTTCTTATGGAGACATGGTACCATAACATCGACGCTTCAATTATAGACTTCAAGTGGGATACCGTCCTTTCCGGACGCCTTGTTGTGTTGTGAAGGAGGTAATACAGCACTGCATAGGCTGTAAATAAATACAATTTCACTACAAGCTTGAGGGAGGAGTGGCGTTGGTCATCGGATCTGGAGGGTGTGCGACTTTGACTGAGTTTTGAGCAGTAAAGTCACCACCCACATCGCAAATAGACCCACCAGGTGCTTAGGATTTACCACTGACTTGGTGGATAATTCGGTTGACTTCCATTGTCACCATCGTATGCAGCCTGCTCTACGTAGATCGCCAATCCAGCTCCGTAATTACTGCGGTTATCTATACCCGACTTTGCCGTCGTTTTGCTTATTGGTAGAGAGATCCCTCGTTGCAGAAACCAGCTCATGGTGGATATAAGGTTCTTGGGTTGATGCAAGAATCGTATCGTCGATGGGTGAATCGCAGAATTCTCAGAATTTCTATAACTGTCTCGTTAACTGAGGACGTCGGTGATTTCCATTTGCTATTGTTTTCTTTTTCGACTGGAACTACAAATCGAGTCCGAATTTTTGTGTCCATAGCCTCGGCTATGCTGGGTTGTCGTAATTTAGTGACACAAGGACGTTTTTCACGTGACGGTTTGGGCACGTTTGAGGGACAAAGTGAGACGCTTGCGAACGAAAACGTGGTCCGACCTATAGGTCTTGTCAGCTTCGGCTCCGGGCATCGATTTGATCCAATGAACCAAGTTACGGAATCCTGAGCTATCCAGAATTCAGCCAGTCTGTCTGACTGTACGACCATCTTCGGAATATCATGTCATTGGATGTTTTCAGCGAAGCTGGGAGAATCCATTTGCAACAACTAGCCAATTCTCGTCAGTAGAACTCAACATTCATCCTCATTGTCACATCTAGAACCAAACCTAAAAGGCTGCTAAAATGGTCGTTTGGTAAGTCACCTGCCCCAGTCAGTAGATCATGGCGAGGGAGTGTTCCAACCAGTTCTTGCGGCCGCCACTAGAGGGTTTCTTTATCGTGCTGATCGGCAGCCGATTTTTATTCGCAGACGGAGACCACAGAGATAATATTATGCCAGTCATACGTAAGCCAGCCATTTAGTGACTGTCTGCTGTTACATCGGCCGCTGTACTAGGTGAGGTGGAAATTGACCTCCTGGATCTTGATTTCCCGAGAGCCTGAATCACGGATTCGGACTCCTGACAGGCGGCAGACATTCAGGTTGTACTGCTGAAGGCTAAACGCCGTCAGGCGTCAGATGTCGGGGTGAAGGAGTGTTCGCAAATTCTAGAGCCCAACATTAACGGTCAATTCGTAGTATACAACCTACCCAAATCAGTATGCCAGGGTCATGGAACGCGTCATTACTGACGATCGTTGTAGCATAGATCGAAATCCTTGAATCGGGCATATTTTCGTGAAATTTCTCAATTATTTGGACTACAGGCTGGTCTCTAGAGATCGTTCGAATTGCCTGCTCGAAGTTGTTTTTACTCTATCGCCTTATCTAAATAGCAAACTAACTTTGACGTCTGTTGGTTGACGCTGTCTCTCTGTGTCACCTTTGGACCTTGAGGTGCCTTAAAAGGCTGTTAGCGTGCAAGACGTCGGCCCTCTGCACGTCGCTGCTGGTCCGTGACGACTTAGTAGTCGGACTCGAGAAACTGCTTTGCTTGCGACCAACATACGTCGAAGGCCACTCCCCTATCCGCCACCTTTGAACGCGCCGGGTAACCGGTAGCCAGGGTTACTAGTGAATCCACCTTCCCGAACTGTAGGGAATTTCTACTAGCGCAATTTTGACTGATTGCATCACAAGCACGCGCCATAATCGAACTCGGTATACAGCACAACAAACGATCGTTTTCTGCAGTAAAGGAATTCTGGAGAGTTAGAGGCCTGATTTTGCTGATTGCCAGCCCCACCTCATCTCATTTTTACTAATGACAGGAGATTATGAGGAGGGAACAAAGTGTTCCATAAAGCGTGCATGCGGTGCGTTTTATAGTCTTCGAAATTGTGCGCTCACTCTTCGCGAAATTGGACAGGGGTCGTATTTCGAGTATGGGGAGATGGCTTCCGACCCCTGTCCGAGCCCTATTACCTCACGACTGGTCCGTTGTGGTAAAGCACTAAAAGCCAACTGATTAGTTGAGACTGACCTAGGGATAAAAGTGGGCTAAACGTTAGACTGGTATTATGGCTGGAATGTCAATAAGAAGGCGATTTCCTGCGACGTGGTCATCTATCTTAGAGCACGGCCTACACAACATTGCGATGTTATGGATACTGAAAGCGGTTGATCAAGTTCTGGTAATTGCAGATAATGGTAAGTTCAACTTACAACTGAAGAGCACACAACGGTGTAAACATTTAGTCACTGCACCACAAGCACTGAGGCCGCCGAAACATGACGAAAACAGGGGCCTTGCAGCATTGTCGATGAAACTTAACATTCTGGATTTTTTTACTCATCTTATCTTTCTTCTTGAAGATAGGGATAGTATAAACGAATTCCTGCTGTGATTTGTGACCTCGTTTCCTTATGCATCATAGGTTGTCCTTCGAGGCTATTGGGCCGATTTTGACACAGAACTTTTATACTTAGTCGACTATCGTCGCGCAACCTTATTATTTTATCGGCAAATATTCCCGCGAAGGCAGTGTTACATACGTTTTCGTCGGTTAGGAAGAAGCGATTGCTACGTTTAGCGAGAAGCATAGGGGATGGCTGCTCATAGAAGGCATCAGAAGTGCCTGTGCCCTCATTCGACTTTCACAAAGTGATTAACGGCAAAGTCTCTATCCTTGTTGTGAATAACCACGTACTGCCGATTTAGCGTTTACAGGTACGTTTGTAGAGCCTCCGGGTGCCGCCTACATCTGTCGCGTGCCCCGTGAACGTCAACACTCTGGTGCAGTAGCTATTGTTTTACTATACTGTCAAATTTTCGTCAATATTTGGCATTTGCGGAAGTAGCCTTCCTTGCTGGATCTTAGTTTGGCTGTCTAGACAAACAACTACAACGTGTTTTAGCCGATAGAGTGATTAAAACGCTGGTTGTCTTAGCGGAGGGCTCGCTCAAATGCTTTTCGGGCTTAGGACAGGACCCAAATCTAATTCACTAGTTCTCTTTGCCTTTTTCCTTTCAATCCAATGGATGAAGTGCAGTTCCAGTTTTCACCACGTAGTTTATACTAGACTTTCGTTGGTTTCGTTACCCGTGCTTCGACGCAGGGCCTTAGTGTCCTCTTAAAAAGGTAGCCGTTTTGGCCCGTGCATTCAACTACATGCTCTGGGCCATGGACGCTGCCATTTTCGACAGAATTTTCAATTGCGCGCAGAGTAGCCCGTAGGGGTTGTTGTAATCCAACTATACGAACAACGCGTCAGCTGACTGCATCAGCTTTGCTTAAAGCCTGCGTTTATGACAAGCCAAACAAATTTTTGATGGTCAGAGATCAATGTTTTTGTATCACTGAACAACTGTAATCTTAGGGTCATTAATTAGACGGTGGTTTCCGGGTTTGGATGGTTTCTTACTACTATCTCCATCACTGGCAACAATGATAAGGCCACACTGAGGAAGATATCCAATGGGCACTTATATCTACAAGTAACGGTGCTTGCCTCATTGGTTACCAGTCGCTGATCATCCACCACTGATCCCTTCACTCGCCGAATTGTTGGCCTACTTATCATACGTTTGGGATTCTGGTGTTTCTACACTTTACGGCGCACTGTACGTTCCATTGTTCTGTGGACGACTGTTTTTAACTCACCCATCTCACCATGTATAAATTTAGTAGTTTAGTACGTACGGCCTCACCTCCCACTGTCTGGCTTTCTGTACATCGAAAGTGCGAGTTTGAGGAGACCTTTGAGAGGAAGAAGTACATCGTCAGCCCACAGGCTAGTCTTTCAGTGTCTTGCTTGTTTACAGAAGGGTTCATTGGTTTCAATCGTTCTTCTTTCCTTATTTAAAATAGTCAACGAATTCAATTTTCATATTGTAGAGGTTCTTTTTTCACACCTGCGCGGCCTGAATTTGGCGTGCCCAGGAGCTTCTTACTCGGGCTTATTGAGACCGTTTCGTTAAAATAACCTGCTGACCATAATTCATTTCCCTATAGCTCCACAATGCCTGATGACAAGTTCGATGTGGTCGTCGTTGGAGCTGGAATTTCTGGTTTGGCTGCAGCCAAAGTGCTTTCAAAAGAAGGTCTTAAAGTTGTTGTCTTGGAGGCAAGAACTCGCTACGGCGGCAGAATTCACACCATCTCTCACTCGCTAGATCCAAGTTCGACTGAGCAGGGTCCACAGAATCCGCTCCTTTTCGATCTCGGCGCCAGTTACCTTCACGGATGCTGTAATGATCAGGAGGTTCAACCACTGTTCACGCTTGCCAGCAGAATTAAAATGCTCACAGTCACCTGCCCGGGCGATGTTCTTGGTCCCTATCGTGGATGGGAGTGCCCGGAAGTTGCCGTCTGGCGGGATCCCAAAACAGGAGAAGAGATCAATACCGCAGAGGTGGCAGAAGTTAGTTTCCTTCTCGATCGCTGTCTACTACGTTCGCTGAACCTTACTTCTAGTGGCCGCCACAAAGGACCAGCAAAACGTTTGTCCTTGGAACCGGTAATGGAGCAGTAAGTTGTCCTCATTCTCTCTATGCCATCTTCACGTATCCTGTCTGACCTCCCGTAAGACAAACAAAGCTGCTTCTAATTTTTCATGTTATTACCATAATTTGTTAAGTAGTGCAGGGTTTTCTTCCACCGCATTAGGATTTAGCGGTGATAGTTTGTCCATCGCAAACAACGAGGACTACCACTGTCTTGGATGAGGCACAGTGGTGAATTTATTCCTAGTAAAGTAGACTTCTGCTGCATTTGTCGCATTCTTATCAATTGCACCGTATTCCGGTAACAAGCGACCGAAGGCGGCATTGTCGCAGTGGGCTAGACAGTTTGCCTATCCATGCCACACAGAAACGGACTCTTGTATGCAAATGTGACCAAGTAGGTGGGTGAATGTGTGGGTACTTGTTTCTCCTTTGCCCCCCCCCCCACTACTTGTTAGGTTTTGAAGATGGCCTTTCAAGGTTTTGCCACTGTTCGTCCCGACTGCCGGTCCTTTGCAAGCGTTCAACACTTTACTAGTTTTTAGTTACTTAGTAGATGTCTTAAATGTGTACCTAGAGCTCAGTTTTTGTCTTCCATGCCTGCGAGTGCTCTCATCGATGTCTCCATAGAAGACTTGTCTCAGCACACACTTATCGGTCATCCCCACGATGTGGTCATCATTATGAACCCTTCAGGACACCTGCATTTAATTACTTTCAGAGACCGCCGTGGTTCGCGGTTTCAAAAAACACTAGCGAGATCCACGGAGGTGACGTAGAGACTGATTCTCATTCGTCATCGTTCTCATTCGTCAACCTTCTCATGTCTGTGAGATCATATCGACGTTTCTACTTTTTTTCCGAAGTCCGCATTAACTTCCGAGAAGAATTCGCTGTCCTACGTTTAGATTCGGGCGATTGGGTTTTAATGGGCAAAGGCTGCCAGTAATATTTAGAAAGTGGATTCACCGACAACCGTCGCAGAATTTCACACCTTTACATTTCTACAGATGGGCAGTGCATGCGTCCTGGAAAGCCTTTTCGCACTTGCAGTTGTCACCTCTGAAACTGTATGTTTGTCGAAGATTTAGGGACCACCGTAGTTGTAGACATCAGCTGGAATTGTGTTCACAACTTGAGCCGTTTCACTGAGTATCTGTTGTATTGCCCCAGTCGTCTGCTACAGGAAAGGCGTGATGTCGATGTCAACCTTTATTTCCAGTTGAGGTAGTCTATTGATGGCGTCGTTGCAGATTGTAGATTGGCAGTTGAGGACGCCCCGGAAGTGCTCAATCCAACACCCCATGATCTGTGACTTCTTCATCAGTGGATGACATCGCGTAGTCCAGATTGTTGAAGATCGCCCGTTTACATACAGCTAGATTCAGCTGGATCGTGTTCAGCTTTCTTCATGCCTCCTTTCCATAAGGTTGTTTTTGTGGTTAGATTTCCAGTCTCACTTAAACATGCATCAGAGATAGTCTCTCCAGCTTTCGACATCATCCCAAGCCTTTGTTGCTCGCATGCCACAGCGGTAACGTCTCCTAAGAACTACGTAGTCCAGCACTTAGCATTGATTTCAAGGGTGCACGTATGTTGATGACGAGGTCGTTTTCTGCACAAGTTTTCAACAGAAGGAGTTCGTTACCGCTGTGGTTGCCGGCACCGTGACGACTTAGCGCTCTTTTCAAGATAGCGTAGTCTATGCCTACTTGGGCACAGAAGGTACTAAGAGCAATCAAATTGTACGCCCTTGACACCTACGCTAGGAAGGCTTGGAGGTCTTCGCAGAACTCATTCACGTCGTCATTACTTGTTATTTTAGGAGCGTAGGCACTGATAATGGTGGAAAACTCCCTTTCGCACAAAGGCCTCACTTAGATGGGGCGGTCGCTTATTCCATGGTGGAGAGGAGGAAACTTCCTGATGAGAATGGCCAAGGCAACTTCACCATGACGACGCTCTCCCTTCTGACAATCGCTGCAGGTGTAACCTGCAAGAAGTAGATCTCGATGGGTGCGACGACGGCCTAGTGACTAATCCATTTTTGAATGACTGGAGCAGTTGTCATCTTTGACCGGTTAGCTTTTGGATAACCTTAAACAGGACAGACATTAAAGATTGCAAGAGTACGGCAAATCTGACGAGGTGGATAGTATGATGGAAGTGGGACTTGTTTCATTATTGTTCCTACCGCATTTGCAGTGAGTGACCGATCTCATTTAATGTTGGCTGAAATTCTGCACTGCATTTTTCGATTAGGAAGGATTACTTAGGCGCGGTTGTAATACTGATTGTCTTGTGGCATAATCCTATAATAGTTCGGACTCGGCAAGATATCATCTTTTGGATACACTGCTTTTCAATCTCCTGTAGAAAGCTTACTCGGTAAAAATGGTTACTTAGGTAGCATGCATTTTTCCCATTGATTTTTGATGATCCTGCACATTTGAAGCACGCGTTGGCCGGAACGGTCACTCACGAACCTATCCACTGCAATCGGGAAACAGTGTACGCATCCCCGACACCCATCAATTATGCCTCCTCGCTCACACCATCTCTGTCGCATGGACCTATGCGACCATATGAGCATCCACGACACAGTTAAAGCCCCCACAATGCCCCATCCTATCTCCACACACAAACCCACCTAACCCACACATAGACCTACTTGGTCACATACCCATAAATGTCATTATCACCACACCACCCAAGCGACATGCATGTGATGCAACCTGTCGACGTCCGTATAGCGGGCGAAACGAGTGCACAGGTACGTACATCTCACGTGATAACCGCGTCCTTCGGCGAAGTCACGTGTGTGGTACGTGACGACGACTACATGTCACGTCGGCCAATGGCCAATCTTATTACCATCTCGTTACCGGTTACTCTAGCTATAGGTTAGTGCGTGGGAGAAAGAACCGGAGCATAGGCACGACACTGAGGAATTCATCCTCAGGGCAAATTAGCGGTTTCACCACTATAATAACCTTGATACGCTTGAATTTATGATCACGCGTTATCAGCCGTAGCTTCAGAGGTTGCAAACTGATGGGATAACTCGTCCCTCCTCAAGTTAGGCTGTAGTAGTTCCCTAATGTGACATTTATGTCGCCTTCATTCATGTGAGGTCCGAGCCGCCTTCGTAAAACGTGGCAGGTCGTTTGTGGCACACGCAGACCGGCTGCTTAGGTCTGTCAGTCGTTGAGTTCACACCTACTTCCGATCGATTTGTCTTGCCATCGAAGCATGATGGGATGACGTGGAAAGAGACAGCTCGTGACGGTCGAATTGTCGTGTATCTTTGAGGGAAGGATGTGGAATTTGCGTCTATGATGTCGTACATGAAGCTACGACCGACTTCTGAGCTCGTCTCCTTTACTCGATCACGCAGTCGATTGGGCCCATAAACGGAATTCAGTTTAATACGTCTTTCAGATACTATGTCTCCAGTGTCCGTAGTATCCATTTAGTCCTCCTACGGATATTTCTTCTCAAGCCGTCTACTTGGTGACGTGCAGCCAATCTTCCTGACTGCAATAATAACCATAGTATACGCAAAGAATTCACTTTACCAGTAAATATAGACCCCTAGGGGGCCAGATCGCAGTTGGTATCCAGGACCCGTATTACAGGTGGCTAAGGGGTTTGTTTACTGTGACTATTTTGTGGGGTTCCATGATCACATCTGACCCATTTGGCTTCCGTTTGACGGTTGAGGTTAGGATTAGGGTACCGGTTAATAGTTTCCGATTTTCAGGTTAGGGTTATGCCTTTAGGCATAGGTTTTCGGGTTACGCTTAGGGTTTGAGCGTGCGAATGGGTTTCAGTATTACGGTTAGGCTTCTCAGTAACGGCTATGTCTAAGGGCTACGGTTACGTTTACGATTTCGGTTAGGGTTAGGGGTGCCGTCAGGGTTAACGGTCAGCGTTTACGGTTGAGGTTAGGGTTAGTGCTAAGGTTTGGGATTAGGGTTAAGTTCACTGTCCGCATCCCATTCCTGGCTACCAACTGCGATCGAACCCCCTAGGGAAACCACGTGAGTTATGTGCGTCCGTCCACGGAGTTATGTTTGACTTGACTCACTTCAAACTTTGAGGTGCCAGCAGTTATTAACATTATCTTTTACACTGTTTCACCCCATAGTTATTTTTCTGGTAGCGGAGCGATAATCCGTGCTCTAAATAGTGAATCTCTAATCTCAGTGACCGGCCGGATCCAGTTTCAAACTTCATGTCCTGTTGCAGTGTAGCTGGACAATGACAATAAATAAGCCAGAGCTGTGACTGTCTCACTTTCTGTCTTCTTTTTTTGGATAGCACTTTCCGATCACACTTTCTTCTCTTACAGGGCCCTGAAGGAGAGCCTGCAGATGCTGTATGAGGCCGGGCAACGAAGTTCACCTCTTCTGTCAGAACGCGAACGCGGGATCTTCAACGCCCTGTTTGCTCGTTACATTGCCTATGTAAACCCCTCCTCGCGTCTCTCGCCCTACCTGCCTCTCGGCTCCTACTACGAGAAGGATGCTGAGGCCGGTGTGGCTGATGACCCACACTGCCCCTCTCTGCCCGAAAAACAGGCATGCATCGACTGGCTGCGAAGGAAACGCGCCTACTTGGCAACTCAGCCGCTCGTCGGTTCGGTGGCCAGGAGGGTCGAGCGTAACACAGAGGATCGACTGGTGTTGTCGGGCTTCGCTCAGATCACAGACTTTCTTGCTACTGGGCTGGATATCCGCTACGGCTGCGTTGTGCGTCACATTGACTGGACGCGGACACAGGCGCCTCCCACGGAGGATACGAATGACGCCCTCATTGAAGTAGAGGCAGAGTTACTGTGGGAGGGAGGAGAGATGGACGAGGGGAGGGCGGTCAAGGATGATCTGCCGGCTAGGCTCTCCATTCAGGCAAAATTTTGTATTGTGACCCTTCCGGTGGGCGTGTTGAAAGGCCTGGACAAGAGGAGTGCAGTTACTTTTACACCCCTTCTGCCTGCCAAGAAGAGACGGGCCATAAATAATCTGGGAATTCCACAGCCTGGTGCCGCCACACACAACAAGGTTAGTTTGTTATCAGCGAGCTCGTCTAGCTCAGCTTGTACTGATGATTTGTCCGCTGTCATTTTGCTATTCAGCGTGGTAACAATCTGGAGCTGACACCCAAAAAAATCCGCCTAGCTAAAGCATCCTGTCTTACGGGACAGGTGGTAATAGGGGTTTTATGGGTGGCGGCTGGTCGGGATGTACGATACTAGCCGACGGAAAGCCTTATTTGAACAGGTGAATGATCGAAGTTGGCCCGCTCTCCGTTCCGTTACTACAAAATGAGTCGCCAAAGGCAGTATAGTGGTAACGGACGAGTGGAAGGCGTATAATCTTCCCTCAGAAGGTTATCTACATTTCTCTGTTAACCACTCAAAGAACCTCAAGGACCCTACTACCGGACGGCACACCAATCCGATTGAGGCATACTAGAGTAGACTTAAAAGGAAACTCTACAGGGGAGGGCCTGCATGTGGTCGAGCTGTGTGGGCTCACATAGACGAAGTACAGTATCGTCTTTGGTTTGGCCTCAATGCCATGTCTTTGACAGATGCCTAGGAACTGTTCCTGTCCCATGTTGTGCAGACTTATCCTATTTAAAAGTGATTTTGTTTCGTAATAAACTGCCATAATGCGAATGTATGCCGTTTATTCATGTGTATGTGTGTACTGATGGGGAAGTTTGAGTAACAGCGACCATCGTCCATGCAACCTCCTGCGATGTTCGTTCGGCCAGCCCATATTAGGCCATCGGGGAAAGTTCAAGTAGTGCGTGAAAGTAGGCCTGCAACCGCTGATATAGCCTGAAGGCGTTTGATTTCACTGTTAAAGGTATTATTTCTAGGCAACGGATTTTTTTGGGTGCCATCTCCCGATTGTTATCTTCAGTGTCGCCGTCGCCGCCGCCACCACCATCACTGTCGTCATGCCAGTCTGTAGGCAGGGCGCCGTCGGTTGCGGAGGCAATTTTTATATCTTTCGCCGAGGTGCTCTGTTTTGACATCATTCAACCAAGAGGCTCATTCCCGATCCTTGACAAATGAGGCATGACCATGGGCGGGTTCTGCCTTTACGCTAACCGTTTATGACCAAGCCCACCGAGGACTGCAGGGGATCCTTAGTGAGGCCTTTGACACTAACCTACGGGAGGTCCGGGGACCACCCTGTTTCTTTGAAGCGCGTCTTGTGTGGGGTTAGAGATCAGGTCGTGTGTGACGCGCGTAAACCGACCACTTGGCTTTTTAATCCACCAAGCGCACATCCATATGCAGTCTTAATTTCGTCTTATTTCCGAAAAGTGGGTGAGGGTGGTGGTAGAGTGAGATAAGTGGTTCGAAAGTGTTCTTCACTTCAAATAAGTTTATGTGGGATTTGCCATTGCCCCATCTCTGGAGTAGCAGTAGTCTTCATTGTTCGAGGGATGTATGGGGTCTGGTGGTCCGGGAAACCCCGTTGCTTTCTTACATCCACGTCAAGCAGATTGATATGCCTGCCAAACTCCTCAACACTGGTGAATTCTTGGTCCGACTCAGCTCTTCTATGGACTTGGTGGGCACGTCTAAATCTCCCCTTGCACCCAGCTAACATTTGCCCCCTCCACGAAGCTATACTATATACAGCGACAGCATCCACGATAACCTTCCTTAACCGGTGGATTAGGCCCGATGAGGGTATCACGTGTGTTTCCACGCTTTGTGAGTCCAATCAGTGATCCAGATAGACCAATCGGACGCTGAACCTATGATACATGTGTCGCTGAGGTGTGTGTCGGTTTGCGTCCGCGGGCTTCCGTCCCTGTGCGGTTCTCTGTATTTGCACAGCTGGAGGCCTGGCTAGATTATCTACTCCGCGTCTTTGAACTTGCCAGTCTGTTAGTGATAATTCCTCCCTCCCCCTCCCCCCTCCTCCTCTCGCCGGTATCACGTTGGAATAATAAAACGAAAATAGGGCAGAAATGCGGACTTTCTCAATGCCTTTCGCGGATTTCGTTAATTGTCGCGTTAATCTGCTCTACTGATAAAACTAATACTAACAACCCGTATAGCAAGAGTCCCTGCTTTCTGTTTTATCAGTGGGTCTGCATATCCAGTGCTCGATTGTTTCATCATCCAGAAGCGGAACTCTCATTAGGACGCCGTAATGAAATGCTGATACAGACTGGTGCGAATTTTAAGCAGCTTTTTGTCAATAATAAGTCTACAGACAAGAATGTACTCTAAACCAACGGTGGTAGATGTTGCAGGACAGTTACCCGAAGGAATGTGAAACCCGACATATTCGCGCATAGAGACGGTAACTTGCTGTAACATGCACGTGCTGCTCAGGGACTTGTAGAACGAGGACAGTGATTATCGTGAGGCCGTAGTGTTGACGGTGCGGAGAGCAGCCACCTGAACAGCCAATGCCGGCCGGCTGCGACGGCGTCGCCTTGTCCTTGTTAATGAGTCAGTCTATGAGTCATCGTTGGGTTAGCGGTCGAGGAGGGCTAGTAGGCCTCAACTTCAACTGTGATTGCTACGCTCCAAGCAGTTGACTTTGGAACGCTGTACGGATTGCAATATCAACCCGTCTTGTCAGACTGTTCAGACACTCATTTAAATCACGGTCGCTCACGAGAAGCCTCGCAGGCTCACAAAGCTTACAGTAGACGGATATTTGGCGGAAATGCGGTCTCACGAGCATTGATTGCGCACATCCTGACCGGAAACGCACATCATGCCTTTAGTCGATGAGCTTGAGCCGATTGGAGATTAAATCCGTTCATCTTCATGCCTGTTTACAAAATCAGGCCATCCTGGTTGGGAACTGTCAGCAGTTGTAGGAAATGACGGGTAAATAAGACTGATGACTAGAGAAATCCACGATTTCTGGTGGGGATGCACCTCACTTGGCGAACGTCGAAGCACATGTAGGGATCATCTGGGTAGGCTGCAGATGAAGGTCCGGAGGTCTGTTTGTCAAACTGGTAAGGCAGGCAATATGCTTCGTTGCCGATCTCCCGACTGTCATCTAGGTAATTTTCTCGCAAATAAGTGATCACGAAACTTTGAATAATTGGTTTAAAGGGTAACTGTCTTCCGAGAAGATGTGAGCATGGCTCAAATTTACGATGAGAGCAACCTGCAACAGGTTCTTTGGAAACATGGCTACTTCTAGGCTTCTCTAAAGAGTTCGACAAATGTTATATTCTTCTGCACTCTATTAAATGTCTCGGTTTAGGAGATAAGCACCATGAGTACATTAAGAGCATGAGCTGTCTCCAGGTTCTGTTACAATTGGCTTCTCTCACAGTCCTCAAGATTTATTTGCCATGATCTGATTTGATGAATTTTTAAACTGACGAGTTTTGCGAAATTTTATGTTTTTTATTTGCACAAGTAGGTGACGCTGTTGAAGAAACCGGGTTTAAATGCCAGAAGAGACTCCGACGACAGACCACATATTCTTCGGAAATATACATTTCAGATTCGCACGAGGACGGTGGTAGTGGGTGTAGCTGCGCTAATTATGAAGCAGTGGCCGTGTAGCATTGGCGCCAAAGGAAGCCACTGGTTCCTGTGTGATCAGGGCCTGTGCTTGGCACGTGCCGCTGTGCCCAGTCTCAATCGCAGTCGGTCAGATTGGGAGAGGAAGACGAGTGAAGTCGATGTAGCTCGTATCAGGCGCCTGGTATCTTCCCCCTACAAACAAGTAAACACGCGTTAGAACTATTACGATGTGACTTATAAGGTTGCCAACCGACGGGATAGCTCGGCCGTACTCGGCATGGGGGGCTAGGCGACAGTGACTACTAAAGGTGACCCTAACCCCCTTATTCAAGCCTCCGACACGGGGTCAGGTCGTGTATAGCACGCGTAAGTTGAACAGTTTAGTTTCGCCAGCCGTTGTGCCTATGCTCATCTTTGTTTTTTTGGCCTTGTCATCGGAGGTGAGTGCGTGAGGGAGCGAGATGGATGTCTCAAGTTCACGCGCAAGTCAGTTCCGCGTCAGGGCTAGATCAGCAGTAGTTCTAGTTGCCTAGTATGGGTGAATTATCATGTGTGTTTGTGTGTGAGGGTGCTGCTTTTAGTTTCGACGAACATACCTTTGCAAACACTACCCAGCACCGTGAAGATAAACCACTAGAATCTACATGTTTTCTTGTTCGTTAAAAGGTTACCATGTAATATACTGCTGCTAATCTTGATGCGCTAGTCTTTCTGGTTAATGCTGTCATAGGTGAGTTGTTTTGATTCAAAGCAGGCTATCACATTCAGCCATCTTTCACTAGCTGTGTAATTGTCATTGGATCAACCCTAGTTCACCTGATAGCTAGTTGAACTGGGTTTGTCTTACGCATTACTGGCTGTACCTGCTGCAGCAATGTTTCTCACATCGGCTCGTTTGCTGCGTTTTGTGGAGTTTTTAACAGTGCCCAGTCCGTTCTCTTGCCACTGACTAACTTTATTCTGCAGTCTAAGTAGATCAAGGCCTGTACTGGCAACAGCTCTGAATTTACATATCCACTCGCCTTTCTTTTTTGAGTGTTTACAAGCCGTCCATTTAGTAGAAAGAGCGGAGCATGTGGTAGCCTGACAGCGAATATATGGTTTTTTTCCAGTAGAACAGATGGGTGCGGCAATTAGCGGAGTCTGCGGCGGGCCTTGAAAGAGCTCACATTCCTGCCATATGTTTATTTTATTACTCCAAGGGGGCACCGAAACAGACCACGCAGTTTGGATAGTGTGAACAGGCGGAAGACGGGTAATCCAAGCTTATTTGTTAACGAAGGCCGGATTGAGCAAGACGATATGCGGCAGACGAACTTTACCCCGACCCTAGCTCTTTCACTAGCCCTAATCCCGAGCCTTTAGCTTAAGTCTAATCAGTTTCTTAAGCTTGGCCGGAAACGTAACCCTAATATAACATGCAGAGATGTTATAGTAATGAAAACATCGGGCTTACGTGTTCGGTCGTCTTCTCAGGTCCGTTTGACTTCATCTTGTTGTTAGCGCGAGATAGGTGCTTAAAGATAGAATGAGGCATCTGAAACGGAAGTTTGCCTCGCAAGTCACAGTCTGGTAAAGGCGCCGGTCCAGAAACAGGCATAAGCGCACCAACCGTTGCATAAGTTTTTGCTGTAAACTTGTTTAATAGGGCTGAAACTTTCACCAAATGAAGGAATTCCAGCTTTCTGACGCGTCACTGAGCATGGAAGCTAGCAGTTCACCTACGCCCAGCACTGCAGATTGAATGGGTCCTCGCGCTCTGACCCATCTTTCCAATGCTATTACAACACTAGCGATAACAAAAAGGGACGATTGCGATATCATCTGCGCCAGAAATAACATCTGTAAACACCCCAACAACCACTACTATCGGATTCCCTTCTCTCTGCGCCCGAGCAGTGAAAAGACGACGACGACGACGACGACGACGACGACCACCACCACCACCACCACCACCACCACCACCACCACCACCACCACCACCACCACCACCACCACCACCACCAGCAAACACTGAACCAGGGAAAGGTTCTCATTCTGCTTTCCTGGCTGTCCTTTTTGCGATATGTTAATCTCTGCCGCATCTTCGACAATAAGTTCCATTCCTTCCCATCCCAGGTCTTCCTTGTCTTTCGGCCAGAGGACATCTTCTGGGACAGAGACGCTGCCCAGTTGAACAGCACCGACGCCACTTTGCACATCCTCAACCTCGACCGATTTGGCAACTCCGGTGTTCTGCTCTGCCACATCTGGGCCGGTTCACCGTTACGTCTGCATGGGAGAACAGACGAGGCGGTGGTTGAGAGTATCTTGCAAATCCTCGGGGGCATGTACCAGCTGCAGTCCGTGCCCTCCCCCGTCTTCAGTCACGTCACTCGCTGGTCCGAGGATCCTTTCAGTTTGGGCGCCTACACGGCCGGGGAACCGGATAGTGGAGACCATGATCGCCGTGCCTACGCGGAAGGCCTGCCGCTTGATGTAAGACATATTTGGCATGTACTAACGAGATCTGACGGAATCTCGAATTTTTGGCATATCAAGGAATCCTTCTATCAGGGACGCTGACTTCAAAAAATAGCCGATTTTTGGCAATTTATGCGATCAGTCCTCTATGGGAAAGTTGGTTTTCTTGTTTGGTCCTGCGATGAATCCAGCTCGGCGAACGCGACTCACACGGAAGTATAGTTCTGATATTTTTGCTGTCATACCGGTGCGCTTGCTAACTGTGTTGAACGGATATAACGGTTTATTAGAGAAGCACGTTTGTGAATATTCATGAACATTCATCCACTGTTTGTCCATCTTTCAATATTTAAACAACAGATGTTACTCGCATGCAATAAGTAGCGTGTATACGTTATTTAATATGTACTACTGGTCGTCAAGACCGCATATCTATCACACGCTCGTACGATGCACTCTATACTTTATAAACCGGGGAGTTCTAAAGGATTTTCGAAGACGGTGATAATTGGAATCAATTACAGCCATGCAAAGAGCGTCCGTTCTGCCGGGGGAATTCGAAACTAGTTTGTCCGACCCATCTCCTCTAACTCCACACTTCCCATAAACCCAATTCCCATGCTAGTTAAAAGTTTTGTTCACTATCAGTTTCGCAGTCTAATCTTCTCTGAAGCAGCCACATGTGACCTTTTGTTCTCTGATCCTTCATAGTGAGTTTGAGTCGTTCGAATCGGTTGAAATATTTTAATCAAGACCTGGGCGCCTGTCCCACCCATTTTATCGTCACGTTCTGATGCGTAGTTCACTCGCTTATTGTTTTGAGCCTGCGTAATCTTCCGTCATTGATTACATATCCACTCACAATCAGATTCTTAAAAGACGAATCGGCCTTCGTTTCTACGTTATGGACGACTAGTTGAGGTCCAGAATGCCTTGCCTTACTTGACTCATCCGATCCTTTATAAAAAAAACGGATTGGCAGGGCTTACTTTAGCAATACTGGACATTTTGAGCCTTCCTAACTTGCTTTAGCTCATAGAGTTTCCCTCTGAATGAGTCGTCTGGCACAAAAGACCGCTGAACAGTTTACATTTTTGGATTCTCATGCCTCAGAACTACTCGATAACAATAGCTTTTATTCCTTTGCCGAAAGTTAGAGGCGTGTACATATCGTTAACTTTCCCACTTCAAGATAATCTACGCGTGTCTTATTTCCTTGGCGTTAGTCCAGTAGTCCAATATATTAAAGGGTATTAAGCAATGCCTTTGGCGACTACCAAAAATAATAGTCATCCACCTTAACTGTTGGTGTGTGCAGAGCGTTCATTCACTCCTCGTACTTCTTTTTCACGGTAGGGTCCACCACGTCTTCTCTTCGCCGGTGAGGGCACCATTGACAGTACCGGAGGTCAACAGTGCACCCATGGAGCCTTCCTAACTGGCGTAGAACGTGCGTTTGACGTGCTTGATCAGCTCCAGGGTGGACGTTGCCGTCTGCGAGACACCCGCATAATCGACTACCTCACCAACTGTGATCCCCAGCGCTTTCCACCACACCCTATGGTCCGCCGCAACATGAAGTCCCCCACCGGTACACCTAACTCACCCACGCCTCCACCGAGTCGAAGGTCGCGGACGAAGGAGAACGCATCTACCACCGAATCTCTACCCGCGACACCAGTCTGCGAGAGCTCCTTTCAGGCCACCAGCTTTGACAGCAGCACCACTGTTTCAGGAGACTTATCAGACAGTTGCTACTCCTCTTCCCGCTCCTCGTCTGCCCTGGCTGATCGCGTGACCATCCCCAGTGACTGTCTTGCTACCTCTTCACCCCTGCGTCGATCAAGACGTCCTTCCACTCGAACCTCCTCCCGTGCTTCTGATCTTCTCTTGCATTCTGCCTCCTCTGCCGACTTGGCTCGATGGACCAAACGCCGGGCTGTGAATGCGATCACAAGCTCTGACCAGAAGCGGTTGCGTGTGCAACCTGCGAAGACTGACGAGTGTTCGTACTCAGTCGAATCGTGCGCTTCGTCAGCTAGCCTATGTGATCTCTCGGACAGCCTGTATAGCAGCAGTAGTCTCTTTGACGATGCCTCTGTGTCGCGCAGTGTGTAGTCAACATTTACAAGGTCCGTCTGTGTGTGTGTGTGTGTGTGTGTGTTGCTCTTGCATGCAAGGCAATAGGCTGAAAATTCTTCTCTGCACTACCAGCGGGCTTTCGAACTTGCGTCGGCATCGTTGACTGGATGTACATATATGCACAAGCAGCTGTTCCGTATTTTCGAGTGTAGTCATCGCTAACTTATTATCTGTAGTCATTTTTGCCTTTTTTTCCGGATCTGTCAGCGGACTGGTAGCCGCTTGTATGTGGCCTGCACCTTGCCATAGTTTTGTGTGCTTGCATGTCCTGGCGTTGTCTTCTTCATTCTTTCGGCTCCTGTCTGACTTTGCTTTTATTCGCCTTTTTGAATAATTTTCGCTTTTCCTGTTTTTACTGTCGACTTTCTTACACTATGTTTGGACATGCTTGACCTTTATTTCTGTTATAGAACTGTTCCTTTGTTTGTCAGTTAGCAATCTTTAGTCAATGCCCATCTTGACGCTTCTGTTAATTTTGCTTGCACGCCTTTGTGGGCGTAAGCGTTAAATGTAATATTTACCTTTTAAAGTATGGGGAAGAGGTTGTGAGCCTACGCTGTGTCACAAACCAGAAACACAACTGGTCGACAAGGTGCCTGAATGTGTTGTGTTCTTGACGACTGTTTGACCATCTTTGCCGACAATGCCTACCGTGGGCGTCGGGACGGCGGTTTGCACCGAATTTCGATGCATCTACCTCTCTCTCCTCCCTCACCCACCTGAACTCGGTGTTGAGACAGTCAAGAAGACCGGAGGCCGAATCGAGCGGATTAGCCGACAAGACCACACAGCCCGTCCACGCGTGCCAGTCATGCCTGTTCTGCGCACACAGAACCAGCATTTCGCCAGAACAATAAAGGGTCGCTTTGGATCTCAACTGAGTGGTGTGCCATAATGGTCACATTAGGAAGAGCGCATTGCAGCCTGTCGCTCCGTCCTGAGAGGACCGAGTTGTGCGGTCAGTTCGCAGTCCCCCAAGTCACGGCTGGTAGCGCTCCGTGATGGTTTAGAAGCGCGCCAGATTGCTTGTAGTGAGAAGTATGCGCTGAGGGCTGTCCACGTTACTCTATTTCTTCTCTCAGGCGCCAGTCCACTTTCCAAGCCGGTCGGTTGTCTGATTCGGGAATTGGACGCGGTAGCTGACAGAGTTAGGGAACCCGACTGCGCGTTCCCCGTGCACAACCTGGTCCTCGACGCAAGCAGCATCTCGCACAAAGGCTGCTGGTGATTCGTATCCCACATGAGTGTGATCACCGAGAGGCCACATTGAGGGGCCATTGAGCCTTGCTCTTAGTCCACCAGTCGGCCACTTCACGCACAAACATACATTGGGCCGGCTATGAGATCTGAGTTAGATCGTCAGCTGGCAACCTTCTAAGCCACGATTTTTAGCGCACCGCTCTCATGGGGCCGATGGCAAGACTGAACCAGGACGACCGCAGACGGAATCGGACGCAGTGGCTGAAAAAGCCCCTCCACGAATGCTCGGTCGGCGTACTATGCAGCAGGTTATCACTCGGATCCCAAAGGCGCGTGGGTGTGAGGCCACATTAAGAGGGTGTCATTGCAGACCGACTCTCTGTCCTGAGGGGACCAAGCTATCCGGTCAGTTGACAGTCTGCCAAACCGCGGCTTTTAGCGCACCGCATTAGTTTAAAAGCGCGTCAGGAATATACGATGGTTGTCGCGTGGATGGAGTCTCCAGAGTCGACTTCTCTCGCCCAGACTCAGTACACTGTCCGAGGCGGAGTCGTCTGATGGGGGGATTGGTCGCAGGTGTCTGGCACGGCATGGACCTGCGTCTGGGTGTCCTACCACACGTCCTGTGTATGTCATTTGTTATGGGCGCGCAGTCGTATCCTGATCTGGTCCCCTTGTTGGTCTAGCGCAACTTCCACGTGGTCCGTTGTAGGGAGCACTGTTTTTTAATATGGGTTCTGTCTTCTGGCTTTACTCATACCTTGCCTGTGCGTATGCCCAACATGCCCATGCAGTCTTCGAATCGTGACTGCTGCCCTACGGCCTTGTTTTTCTCCATACAATCCCGAACTGATTCCGTCAAATTTGCCCCCTACCCCCAAATCCGCTTCTCTACACATACTTCTGACATTTTAGGACAAGAGTTGCGGCCTTTTTGTATGTCGGCTACTTCCTGGCTTAGACCCCTTCTGGAATGTATGCGAATCGGAAGGCATCTAGATTAACTCAGCGCGTTAATTCCCCCAACAGGAGACCGTCAGATACGGGCCGGACAGTATCTAGGTAGCCTTAAATATCACCCACAGAAGTGGCGAGACAGATTACTTCGTCCGGCGACGTTTGAGAGTACGATGGCTTGAATGAATGACAGCAACTGTGTTTTAAGTGAGTAAACTACCGACAGAATTGTTGGACACCTTAGGACATGCTTACTTCGCCTATTTCATTGTCTTGGTCGCCCATTGACGATCAGCAATCTGGGTTTTTTCTTGCAGTCACTCACGGCTAACTAGCTGAAGAAGCGACAGCAAGATATGCCATTTATTGGTGAGTTCTCCTTCTACACCATTTGCTTGATATCATAAAGGAGAGTCCTACAGAGTGTTGCTGAAATCTGGGCACTCGATTGAGCAGCATAAGGCCTCATGCACCGCGCCACAGGAACAAGTAAGAGTAAGTAAGTATTTTGATGACTGAAACAAAACAGGCTGACATTGTGCTACCAGGGGAGCTGTAGTGGACTTTTAGAAGCTCAGCTCGGTCACTTTGGAGTGGCCGTCAGTGAAGAAAGTTCTTCATTGTTCCATGATTAGGACTTGGGCCCTACTGCCTTAGCATCGACCCCACTCGTGGGCTTAGGCGGTGAGCCGATAAAGAGGACCCAAACTCCTTGCTGACGCCTGATTTGGTGTTTCTTTTTACCACTTCAAACTTTTCTCTGAAGCTTCCTAATGCAGAAACCCCTGATGTTAAATGAAACGTTTGTTGCTAAAATTACGACTTACTTTTCGGGAATTCGAACGTGACGTTAGAGTAGGCAGCTGTCGAGAATTTGAGCTATTGTTCCTCATTCAATTAAATCGTCTTGGATCTCAGTTTGCTTCTGATCTACTGGAATGCAAAGAGTAGGTGAGCTAACTCGTGAAATGTCGGCCGAAATTTCGAAATGCGTTCCCGTTTCGAAAGGACTAATTAAGTAGGGTTGTAAAACTAATCATCATGGAGCATAATTCTATGATAATCCAGTAATCTCAGGATTCCGGATTTCGAACGAACTTATTTCCGACTGCATTCAAAAATTATACTCTGCAAAAAATGACTACTTAAACAGCCTGCAATTTTCTAATTGATTTTCGATGCCCTTAAAAACTATTATATTTTGTGGAAAACATGCATAAAAATATTCACTGTTTTGTTCGTTCGGTAGAAAATGGCGTCTTTTTCAAATTTTATATTCAAAGGAAGGGTTTAATTCGGTTTTAAAAAAGGTTTTTAACTGTGGGATTTTTTAACACAGTGAAATGGCCCTTTATAAAACGTCATGTCTCCGCATTTACCAATGTGCCAGGTAAATTTAACAATAGGGGTCAAATCCACTCCTTTTATGAACCCTATATGATCCCCCTTTGTTACCGTAGAGAAATGTATGGCTTTCCGTACGCGGAAAATATACGGCTTGTAGATTAGGAACCCTGAATGCAAATGCAAGGGCTGGTCAGGTTCAAAATTATTTGGGAATTAGGAAAGTTTTTGAAAACCGAATTGTACCCTTCCTTCGAATATGTGATTGACAGAAGACGTAAGTTTCTACCGATTGAGTGAAAGAATGAATATTTCTATGCATGCTTTCCAATAAATATAATTGATTTTTTAAGGGCATCGAAAATCAATGAGAAAATTGCATGCTACTTATGCAGTCATTTTTTGCAGAGTATAGTTCTTGCATGCAGTCGGGGAGAGGTTCATTTAAAATCCGGCACCCTGTAGTAACTGGATCACTATAGAATTATGCTGCAAGATAATTAGTTTTACAATCCTACTTAATTAATCTTTTCAAAGCGAAAACGAATTTGGAATTTTCGATTGACATTTCATGAGTTAGCCCACCTACTGTATATAATGAACTCCAGTTAATCGGTTCTCGTTGGGTCAAACGCTTTTGGACTGGGTTGATAGCCGGCTTCATTATTCGGATTTATGACGGAGAACCGGTGTCCAGGAGTTCCCGCAGTGTTTGCGTTCTTCCCTCCAGCAGTACTGATTCGCTTCGCGATGCCTTCTTCGTGTGTCATCAGTGATTGTACACTTTGGTCCCCCTGGCTTCCACCAGTTGGCGATGCCTGGTGTTGACTGTTGGTCGAGAAGGGCAGTTTTGCCTATTATTGCTAAGTCTCCCTCCGATATCCGGCTTGTGTGCGGGCAAGCAGTTTGGATACGAGACCATGCCAACCAATCTCAACTTCAGCCAATAAACGAGCAGCTCTCGTTGCAGTACAGGCCTGCCTTGCCTCGGCCACAGGACCCGTCACCGCAATTACCAACATCTTACTTTAGCCCCACCTACACCCATGCGCTACCACGACGGCTACAGGCTTATGCAGACCACCTAAGCAAACTTTCAGCTAGCATACCGTCCCCTTGTCTGCGCAAACTGTGGGGTATTCTCACGGTCTTTCTCAATTCTGACCTGGCACACTCACTGACCCAAGTAAGTGTACGCATATGATCTGCTTCCCCTGTTCAACATTTGACTTGGGTAGGCGGCTTGCCCAATTAACCGGTTGTTCTGTTAATCGGAATCAGTCAGCATTAAAGAAAATAGCACTGAATTATGCTTGTGCGTTGGCCTTAGTGACTGACCACTACTGGCTTTCATTGGTTCGTTTCCTGACACCCTGTTTATCTTCACACCTGTTTTTTTATTACGGCGAGCCACTTGCTCTTGTCTGCCCTTCTCCGGTCCAGCAGCAGTATTCGCTTCCATTTCTGGGAGGGATCCTTGAGCTAGAGGAGCTTATCACGAGAACGAATAGTCTTTGTAGGTTAGATAGCTATGAAAACACTGTTTCCATAATGGATTCCAAGCCTTGCAGTCTACGCATGTATCACGAAAAATTGTTATACGTTCACAGTCCTAGGGCCTCTCATTAACGAGGCCTTGGAATAAAGCCCGACGATTTCCTCTACGTCGGTTCTTTGGAACTTCAAGGCACCTAGGAGGAAAATCAGTTAGCATACGGTTCAAACCAAGACTGTTCGGTAGTGAGTAGTACTCGTACGCTGTATGCAATGGATCAGTGACATCGACTATTGACAGGACACACCAAGCAGTGCTCACTTTTGTCCGCTGATTGGTCGATCACTGATCAGTTATGTCTCAGGTACGACCTGGTAGCATGCCAGGTGCATTGGCAAGGCCCATTTAGTACGTTCTTACTCAGCGTCGACTGTTGAATAGCAAAAAACTAAAATATGGCTGCTGTTTTGGGCATCGTATGGGCATTTCGTGGGATTTACAAGATCCCCTCGGGCTACCCTAAGCTACTGGGCCAGCGCCTGTTAGCAGCAGCAGCAGCAGAAGCGGCCGCCATCAGGTAACGAAAACCAACCCTATGCGCCCAAAAGAACCTTGTTCAGGCTCCGCGCTTACCGTGGTCAAAGGTTGACTAACCACATACCACTTTCTGCGCCCTTCCGCTCTTGCCTAGCCCGTAATTTAAAACCTAACTTTTATCGATTTTTGTTTTACTCACTGTACCCCGCCCCATGTAACTGTATTGGCCTGATGAGAATTTACCTAAAGGAACGTTCGTTCGCCACTGTCTCTTCTGAGATTTCTAACACTTTACTTTGACTTTACTGTGTAAAACTCTGTGACCTCAGTGGGATTCGGACCCACGACAGAAAGTGGAAGGATTGAGAACAGCCGACGCTCTAGCGTTGGCTTTACTCAAGCTCGGTGGTCATCTGGTGGATTCTAAATCGATTACTTAGGATATCCTGTTGGTCAGTCAGCTTACTGTTTTAGATTTGGTGGATTTCATACATTCCAGCAGACGAGGAAGGTAAGTTGACCCAAATATGATAGAACTTCCAGCTCCCAGTGGGGCCTCGTAGCTCAGGTGGCTAGAACGTTCAATGTACTAAAGCCTTCCCCTTACTGTCGTGGGTTCAAATCCTACCGAGGTTGCCGAGTTTTGACGGTCGGGTCGAAATAAAACCTAACTGTCAAAGGGGTGTAACAGTCCGATATGTGTACACGGGAGAGGACGGCGCGTATACAGTAAAGCACACACGAAAGGAGCTGTTGAACGTGCATTGCGAAAGAATTCTGGCAGGCAGATTACTGCATTATGGTAGTTGGGAAGATACTGATGTATTTTTTTTAAAGATTTCCGTATGCATATATAACCACTGTGTAAACGCTGTTCCTCATATAAATAGGGGTGGAGGATTTGCACTTGTGCTAACTGTTGAAAGGCTCTCAGTTCAAAATCGGCTCGGTTGATTTAAGAACAATGTCCCTGATATCCTGAGGCATAGGTGGGCGATGTGCCCTGGGGAAGGCGTCGGAGGGCGAATTCGCAAGTTAGTTACCGATGGTGTAGGTGTAAGTCTGACAAGCACTTCCTTAGCTCTGTCTAGTTATGCCACAGATTATGGGTTCCAGCACAAATAATGACAATCAGGTTGATGAAGTTGTTTCAATTATCGGGCGTGCTTCTACTTACCACTTGTATGAAGATTCTTAAAAGTTGGTCTGTTTTTTAGCAGACCTTTGTCTGCGCGTCAGGAATATATACGGGGAACAGCAGTCAATCACTTTCATCAGAGTAGTATGACGGAAGAAAATCTTTTGAATCATAAAGAATGTCACGGGCGGCTCATGCGCGGAGGTTGTTTTCATTTCAGATAACACCAGACGTTAGACATGCCGGTGTTTGTGGACGTAACCTATGGTCGGGTGAATGACTTCCTTTGGAGGTCAAACAATTTTGGAAATTGTCTTCACTATCCGATCACGCTGAGTGTTAAAGTACTTTATGATAAGGAGCCGGAAATGTGCATGAGTCTTCCAATACACTTAACGAATCAAATGTGAATTTGCGACTGAAATCCATTTCAGTCTAACTTACGTCTTGGTTATTGTGACTGGATTACTGGTATGATTCTGAGTGTAAGGGTGCAAGAGCCGCTGGTTGGCCCTATCTGCTGTTGAGACACAGAAGTTGCTGCAATAAAGGAGAGCGTTGGGACAGAGGACTGCGCCTTTTAGAAAGCTATCTCCCCAACTGTTCAGAGTTCCCGTACACGTAACGCCAAAAAAGAACAATTAAAGGCATAAAATTGTCGTTTGCATTAGATCAGAGACAAGGTCGTTGTTTTAATAGACAAGGAAGAAGAGTGCTTTAAAACAATGGGAACATGAACCACTAAACTACTGTTGAGTGAGTGTCATCTGACTCTCCAAATCTGTCCAGAAAGAGCATTCTGTTAAAGCTAAGAAACCGGACTTTCCTTCTCTCTGTCCGGCGCTTTATCACTTCTCACGCTGGTGCGGTTTCCGTACTCCTGAAACCGTCCGGAGGAAAGACGAGTAAATCTATCATTTACTTCCGTCTCATCTTCCTCGATGTCCCTGTCCTTTGAGGTGTACCTCAGCGAGGTGATGGTCAGGTACATTGGCATGATCGTGAAAACCACACTGACTATAGATACCGCCCCAATGAAGCGTTGTTCGCTGTCACGAATGAACGTCACCGTTCCGCCGATAAGCGCACACACGGCCTCGAGCACTGCGAAGGAGAGGAGTAGGAGGTCAGAGTGGGGTAGAATTGGCCAGAAGATAAGTGCGAGCTGTAGTAGAATTCCCATGCCGCCAACCCAGTAGCCGGCAAATACACTGCGTTCTTTAGCTGCTGTCCCGCTAAGAAGGGACTGTTGGTAGATGAGCACTGAGTAGACTGTGAGCGGAAATAGGCTATGTAAGATAAGCAGTAGCTTGTCCGCGTGAGCGGAGATGCGACGGCGGACTCGAGTCCGACGCTTTTCACGTACAGACGACACAGAGTCGATTTCCATGCTGGCGAGAGTGGGCTCTGTTTAGAAGAGCCTCGGAGCGTTGTTATAGCTGCGGGTCAGTCAGACGGTTGAGGGAGAAACCACCAATCAGAGTGAGGCGTGCGATTGTGCTGTTGGCTGGTGGCTTTGGTGGTAGGGGCTTTGACATTGTTTTGATAGGCACAGAGAACTGCAATGCGGCGAGTGTAAGAAAAAATCTATCCGATTGCCTCAAAATGGCTTTCCATCAGAAGTCAGTGTCTGAGGCGCGATTTTTCGGATAAACAAGTCTTGGGGTGGATACTTTTTAGAAGGGCTAAACAGTTTAGTGTGCTAGGTGGTAGGCAATTCTGAGTCCACACCTGACGTCAAACGGCGATGTAGTTCACCCAAAAGGGAAAAAATTGTTGTAATAAGCAGATGCCTGTCTGGATTTCACCCAAATACCATTTAAATATTTTCTGCGCTGGATCAGTGGAAAGACGTACCTTCAGGAAACCAATGGCGTGCTAGAAGACCGCCAGCTCTATGTTCAGTACGAATCCACTCCCATAAAAATTTTGGCACGTGAATGAAATAAACGAAATTTTATTAGCAGTGAAGAACTCAGGTGCACTATCGCTAACCGACTGACGCATGGCGAGAGCGTGAGAATCGGTCTTGGCTTGGTCCTACGGTCGTCCAAAAGTGCGCGAAGAGGGCGCTCTTGTCCGACCGATCGTATCACTCAGCCTTCTCCTACTGCCAAAATGGCTATCCCGACGTCTTAACTTTCTGGCTGCTAATTCAGACACCACAGTCAGTCCGTAAGCACTGTTCGTGGAGAAACTTAAAGTGGTAGGTTTCCTGCCAAGCGACGTCATAGGGACTTTTGATGTTACGTCCCTTCTTACTTCTACTCCGCAGAATATGACAGTCAAGACCATCGAATTATTCCTGGAGAACAAACAGGATAAAACAGAGAATCACCTTGAGCATACCCGTATCCTCCAACTCCTGCGGTTCTATCTCCGGATGTACTTCATGTTCAACGGAATAATCTACGTGCCGGTGAGAGGCACGCCGATGGGTTGGCCGGTTTCGGGTTTCATAGTTGGCATGGTCCTACAACGGTTGGAGTCGCTGTTCTTCCGACACCACAGACCGAAATGCTGGGTCTCATACGTAGATGACACCATCGTCGTCATCGGGTGAGATCAGGTGATGGCATTAAAATCAGTCTTCCTCCACATCGAACTCCTTTTTAATAAAATTCGGAAACTCGTTTACTGCATTCTACATTTACGTTCCTCGGGCACGCATCAACCCCAAAATCTGGAGACTTACAGATGTCTGCATTCTTCCTCTTATTCTTTATTGTTTTCCTGCTATTTTCCCTGTATTGCCTAAAATGGTATGTCCATTTTCAAACGGGTCATCCGAATGCTCTCTTCTGTCGCCAATGTTTCTTATGGTATTTTAGCTGACATCTTAACACAGCCATATTTCATAGCGGTCAAGCAATTTGTTGATCGAATTTTGGATGATGTTGTCCATCCCCATATCCGTGAATTAATTGTTGCGAAGTCTTTCCGACCAATGCACCGAGGCTTCCGGTTTGTCAATTTTCCGCACTACGAGCTCGTTACGTTGCCTGTAGACAGACCGAAATAGAGAAACCGAGACTCGAGCTATCCCCGTAATTGTTTTGTAGTTTTGTGTATGACCAGTTACTCTCTTATCATCTATCGATTTATATGCTGGCCACGGGGAATAGGAAAAAGCTTTGCTGAAAAATCTGGAACGATGATTTCGAAATAATGCGTATTCCTCTCCCCGCGTTTTATCTCTTGTCAACTTCCCTTATCCATTTTTGCGATCAGGTTTCTAGATTTGGCAGGCCATTCGAAGACTTTATTGAGAAATCATCTGTTTTCCTGACGCTTATCACAAAACAAAGTCAGAATAATATCGTATGATTTTACATGATTCAGTAGGCCTGTCCCACCTGTCGACATTTGGCGATCAATTTAATTTAAAACAGTGGTTACAATTCCACTAAGGAGGCGTTTGTCGGTTTAGCTACTTTGAATGCTGCTAGAATATTACGGTTATGCACGCATATTTACTAAGATTCCGTAACCAGGAGAAAAAACTATAGCGTTGATATTCAACCGCAGTAACAACTAGCAAGGTTTTGAAAGTGAGAAATCAGTCATTTTGCCCGTATTGAGTATTTAACCTCCTACACAGACGGAGAGCAATGTCTCTCTAACTTCCAGCTTCGTAATGCAGAAAAGAAGGTTGATTCGGTCAAATTGGTTTATCAGCACAAGCAGGCACTTATACTTACTCATTTACAGCCACGGATAGACGACCAGCCACTTTTATGGTCCTGGGATTTCAATTCAATGATCTTATCGACTCATGAGTTAGACCTCAGCTCCACCTGCTTGTATGTGTTTTTCCAGGTCATAGCGCCTGGTAGGTGGGCTGGGGAGATCAAAAACAAACAAAGCAAGCCCCTCTCACTCTTGCCCTGTCTGCAGCTTCTTGCGTAGGCATTTTCACACTCATCTGAGACTCTTGACCTCTGAGGCCAACCAGGGATAGTTGCAGAATGGCGCGCCTTCTTTTGTAAAAACACTGCACTCCTCCTCACCTGTTTAGGGCACGCTGATAGACCGCATCCACGTGAGACGTATTTTACAGTAGCAGAGGTCAGGTTTTTAACTGCAGGCTAAATGGCTGCATAAAACCAAATGATGTGCGCCTGGAGCAAAGAGGCAGCCAAATAGCGAGAAAAACTTCCATGAGGATTGTTTAAATCAACCAATGGAAGGGGTTAAAGATGGAATACATTCAGTCGTAGTCAACTTGAGGCATGTGCGGAAACCTTCTGGTGCAGTCAGATCCGAAGCTTCACCCCGCACCCTCCAACTGACATACTCGCAGTGAACCTGTCTTTCCTGGGGTTTGTTCTACTCGGCTTGTGTAAACACTTGGAAATCCACTGGAAGCCGAAGACCGTATGAATGGAAAGCTAGAAGTATTCCCCTAGATAATATGAACTCGGGTAGAAATAAAAGGAAAGCAGTTGCAAAGAGCGTATTTAATAGATAATGCAAATTGTCCGCTACTGAAGCACATGAGGTAGGAGGATATATCCTCGTTTCGATAATGACGGCCATCACTCAGTTTTCAAAAAATGAACTAACGGACTCAGCTATCCACGTAACTGGAGGTCTTCGATATTTTCAATGTTGGTCAGATATGGTTATGTAGCCCCAACCGAAGTAAACAATTCCCAGCCACCTGTTATACGGGACCGGTGATAATAGGGCTTTTATAGGTGGGGCTGGGGAAAGCATAGTCGACGAGATCAAGTAGTTGTATGCAAAAGAAAAGCTATTGGAAATGCGCGGTTGTACTTTGAGTGGTTAACAAATAGTTTCCCTAGCTCCTAACCCTAACCTTTAACTCTTACCCCTACCCCTCTTCCCAACTAGAATCCCTAACCCCAAGCCCAACAGTATTGTGTCCATCAGGTGGGGCTTAGTAACTACATCTCACCTCAGTATGCGACCGACACAAAGTTACCTGAGAGAGGATTTCTCGGATCGTTGTATTGGATACCATGATGTAAGAACGTGTCTCGCTGTCTAATATAAAATGCCGGCTATAAAGACAGCTACTTACGGCCGGGTATCGGAAGCTCAAGTCGATTTTTGTCTAACAAATGGGCAGGACAGATGTTCCCAAATTTATTCAGAATTCTTAACATCTTACCAAAGGTTTCTAACAGACCCAAGCTTAAGTTAAGGACAAACAGTGGCACTTTCGAGAGAGTCAAGATGGTCGACAAAAACGGGTCTGAGCTTTTGGTCTTTATTCATGCCTGATGGTTCTGAACTGAACATATGCACGCACACGTTTCCGATGGGACAAAATGGAGACTGGGTTTTATGATAAGCGATGACGCTGACTGAGGAAACAAAGCGACCAATGGAAATGATCTTGAAACGCACTCCAACAGATAAACTCGGGAACATAATTCATGTTACTCAACACAAACCCTCTTTTTAAAATCCGGGAAGTATAGAGTGTCAAGGACAATTCCAATAAAAAGTCAATTTAGATAATCGCGTGTAAATTTTCCCAAAGCAGGATTTGTGGTTAAGAGATCAGGAAAGTGTAAGTGAGATTTTGACTGGATAGATTCATTCGCGAGAATATTGGGAACAGTACCACAAAGTCTGCCACCCAAAGTGCAGGAAAAAAGGCGTGTTTCTAAGACTGCCGTTGTTAGGGGCAGCAGTCGACGAAACACAAGGGTGACGTCTAAAGACGGTCATCACGGGAGCTTCCCCGCGACGAACTTACGCTTTTTCTTCACAAGCTCTCTCCCCTATGTTTGGGGGGTAAAGATCAACTAACGTTGTAGACCCCATCGATGTTCATCTATTCCATCACTTTTTTTCTGGGGAGACGGATATATTGGTTTTGCAATGAGGCGTCTGGGAAAAAGGGTACGCTAACACATACCTACCTGTCTAGGTAAAGGTGAGAATAGGCTCGTTTTGCAGTCTATCTCCGAAAATCTACCTGGTACGAATCGCCGTGTCGACGTCGAAGAAGCCGTTTAGGTTGCTGTCCCGCCAACGGGTTATTGGCTATTCGGCTACTAAATCCAGTGCCTTGTTGTCAGAAGTCGCTGATGCTAGCGTTCCTTCCCCCGTGTCCAACGCCTAATTCGGGTTATGATTACATGCCGCCCAAATCATTTGATGACAACCATGCAAACTCAGCTTAATTGGCCTACAGACCTTCAAACTACACTTTCCTCCCTCCTCCACACACAATTACCACAACACGTCGACCGCGCTGCGTGGTCGGCTTGAGACACGAAAAGTACGACTAACCTTTTGCGACGCCTATACATAAACCCCTAACACGACCCGCACCGACGTACTGACGGCAGGCCCAGTTGCCGTCTTACGTCGCGCAAATTTGGGTTCGTACCCCCAATTTTTGTTGTAGTA